GTGCACTAACCACCAGGGATCAGATGCTAAATGCAGGAGCCGCCCCCTGGTGGTCAGTGTGCTCCCATAGGGGGAGTGCCACTCAGCCAGAAGACCTGAGCTGGTCTCACGGCTGGCGAGTGCAGCAGCAGTGGCAGGAGCCTCTCCCACCTCCGTGGCAGCATTAAGGATGTCCGACTGACTGCTTAGGCCCGCTCCCTGTGGGCATCCCCTAAGGGGTCCCGGACTGGGAGAGGTCACAAGCCAGGCTGAGAAATACCCCCCCCCACACACACACACACTTATACACGAATTTCATGTACTGGGCCTCTAGTAATGAATAATTATCTGGTCTAAAATGTCAATAGAGACACCCCGGCTTCAGCCATTGCTGACCAAGTGCTGTCTCTACTCAGACAGTGTGAGAGCCTGGCCTGAGCCCGGCAGGGTGAGCAGACCAGTGTCCTCCTTGGGGCACAGGGAAGAGGAGGGCAGGGATTAGTCCAGCTGGTCTTACTCCTGCAACACTGTGCGGCTTGGACCAAGTTTTGTGGGCCCCAGTCCCTCAGGTGAGACCTAAGTGTGAGCTCCTCTAAACCTGATGCTGCCACTGCCCGCACGCCTAATATGTGCCTGGGGATGGTGTTCATGAGACTTGCCTCCTAGAAGTTTCCTAGCAACCCTGCAAGGCCGGTATCATTTATTCCCATGGTACAGCTGTGAAAACTGAGGTCCAGATGAACAATGGAGTGCGTGGTTAATGACGTGCCGTGGAGACTGACTGACAGGTCTTCATCTGCCATTTAGCAGTGCCGCTTAAGCACTTTATTTTACCTTTTTGAACATCACCTTTCAAATCTGAGGAATAAAACAATATCTACTTTATAAACATTATTATGAGAGTAACAATAGAGAATGCATGTAAAAGCTCGCAGGACAGGGCCTGGCATAGAGTAAACACTTCGCAAATGACTGTTGTTGTTACACTATAACTAGTGTGCCCGCTGCGGGGAGGCGCTGGGGACAGTCAGCTCTGGCCAATGTCAAAGCTGCCAGCTCTCAGGACGGTCACAGAGTGGCCCACTTGCCATGGGGACCCGGGGACTCCTGAGGGAGGGGGAGCTGCTGGGAGACACCGGAGGGACAGGAAGAGTCGCTGAGACAGGAGAGTGTGGACGGGAATTGAGATTCATTGAGCACTTTGGGCGCGAGACCTAAATTCAGTCATCGGGCACGGGAACCGGAATGTATGAGACGCCCTTCTGGTCAGACAGCTCTCCAGGCGGCCCAGCTGGTGGGAAGCCTGCACGCAGGGTCGGGGTTGGACCTTGAATTGGTGGATTCCAAGCAGAGGGTGCGGCCCTGGGAAGGAGGTCTCTTCTACTTGCTCTTTGCTCCCAGGAGTCACCGAAGAGGTGTGCTGATTTCCATAATGCAAATGATCTGGCTAGAACACAGGCAGACTTCTGGGAAATGGGCTCCAGCCTCAGAGGGGCCGAGTGTCTCTGGGAAAATTCTCCCTCTCTCAGATATGTCACTGACCAGTGCCCACCATGGCGCCTGAGACGGGGCCTTCTCTTAAACTGACGCCTTCATTTCCACTCAAGACCAAGTTATCCTCTGTGTCCCCATGTTGCGCACCAGGGCACCCAAGAGGGTGAACAGTCTTTCTAAACAAACAGACAGACTCTGAGGGAAAAAACTTCCCCGTTTTGTGAACATACCACCGTTTGCTCAACGTGTCGTTACTGGCCATTTGAGTAGTTTCAAGTGTCTGGGTGTGGGGCTATGATAAACAGTGCTGATCGGCTGCTCCCATAAACGTTGTTTTGGGGGCGTGCGCATGCGTTTCGGTCTGTGTGTATCCAGGAGTGAAACGCTGGCTGGTGGGTGGGTGTCTGCTCAGCCTCAGCAGATGTTGCCACTCCATCTTCCAGCGTGTCTGCGCCCCCTGCACGCCCACTCGCGGGGGGCCTTCTGTCGCCCCACATCCCCTCCTACCGTTGGTATTGTCATCTGAGAATTTACAACAACAGGCCACACGGATCTCATAAACATGAAATATAGTGGGGGGAGGGAGGCAGACATGGAAGAAAACAGTCCGATTCCCATCTGTATACAACCTGAAACGGGAACAATAACCCCCCGCGCTCAGAAGCCAGGAGAGCAGGGCCGCGAGGAGCGCTGGGTCTGTGGCGCACGGGCGCCAGGGACGCGGGTTTATGTATTCCCTTTGTGGGAATCCACCAGGCTGTGTGCTTACGACTTGTGCACTTTCGTATGTCATGCTTAAGTTAAATTTTTAAAAAGACTTTTTTTCAATCGTTCTCTCGCCCTTCCGTGGCCCTTCCCACCGACCTGGTTGGGAACCATCGGTCCGCGCCCTGGCGGCCCCGGGGACCTGTACAAGCTGCGCGGGCGCGCTCGGCAGGGCCTGAGGCTGGTTCCGTGCTCCGCTGCTGCCTTGAAAGCCTTCACACCTTCTGAAAAGGGCCCTTCGTTTTGTTTGGCCTCAGGCTGCACGCATCACGCAGCCAGCCCTGGCCACAGGCCACGCGTGTCTCCACAGATCCCTGCCCGGCTTGGTCTTTGACGGGCACGGCGGACAGGGCCAGGCGGCCCCTCTGCCCGGTGAGAGAGGGCGCCCAGTGGCCACCACACTCAGGATGGATTAGCCCAAAGCCATGACGGGACTTAGAAAGAGCCTGGCTCTTGGTACATATTCTTCTTTTCTTTCGAATGTAATACATCGATATGTATCTTTATCATATAAACAAGAGGAGGCAGGGCTTTTTGGTTAGTCCTCACCAGAGGGTATTTTTTCCATTGATTTTTAGGGAGACTGGATTTGGAAAACTTGCCCCTTATCAACTCCTTCTTCTGAATTCCGCCTCCAGGTCAGAATGGATGTGTTCCATCCAGCGGCCTTTCTCTCAGATCCTTCTTTCTTTGGGGTGCTTCCGAGGGGTGTGGAGGCGATAGAACCGCGGCCTCCTGCTTCCCCGTGACCTGTGCTCCCTATAAGCGCTTGTTTTTCACTCTGAGGATTGGCCTCTGGCCAGGCAGGGCTGTGTTCTGAGCGCTGGTTTCTGGTTGGGTTTGAGTGTAATGAGGAAGTTGTCAGGCAAAACTGTTTTCCAGGGTGGCTGAGGTAAGCCTCCTATCTCCACTGAGCGGGAAGCCGCCCGGGACGGGACAGGGCGGCGTAGTGGGCGGCCCCTGGCCCGGGGCCGTGAGCTCAGCTATATATGACTGTGCCCGAGCATCTCTGAGACACTCGGGAGTTTGGGGGCGGCAGCAGCAGCAGCCCCAGCAGCAGCATCCTCTCCCCGGGAAGCTGGGCCTACCATCCCCCATTGGATACAACTTCCGGCAGACGGGGCGGTGCTTCTCAGTGGTCCCACCAGAGCCCTCTGGTCGCAGGGACAGGAGTGACTTCGTGGCCCAAGGTTGGTTGAACGATACTCTCTCCTTAGGGGCTGGAGCGGTGGGTGGGTTTCTTGGGGTTCTGAGAGGAGTATAAGCCCAGAAGGCAGACCCTGACGTCAGGTCAAATATTGCCTCTACTTGCTGGGGCTCCCTGGGCCCCAGTTTCTTCATCTCTGAGAGAGCGCAGGGCTCGGTGATGCGATCTCAATCCAGTGCCTGCGAAGAGCTCTGAACTAACTGGCCCCGATGAGCTCTGAACCCAGCCAAGGAACTTCCCTTTCTTGGGCCTCAGTCCCTCATTTGCAGAATAGGCGGTGCTCCGTACTCCACTGACTTTACGTGAAGACGTGGAGTAAAGGGAAGCTCCCCATCAGTGGGAGGTGATGCTATCACCTGTGGTTGGACTAAGGGTTAGATGTTAAGGTTTTTGGAAGTTGGTCCAAGAACAGGGACATCTTCTGCTGCCCTGACTGGGATTGGAGGGGGACCATCTAACACCTGGGAGCTGGGCCTGGGAGCAGGGCGGGTCCTGAGGGGAGAGGAGACCACCTTGTCCCCCAGGAGACTCAGGCCAGGGGAGGCTGAGTGTCTCCCCAGCAGGCCCCCCTCCTTCCCCTGTGGGGGGTGTGACCTGTGATGGACCAGCACTATCGAGGGAGCCCAGGCTGAAGGCTTTGAGCTCGGACGAGAGTGGCTTTCATCGAGGGGCTTGGAGTGCCCATGGGCTGCCTGTGCTAAGAAGTAAAGTTCCAGGTGCAGCCCTTGACCCTCTAGCCCACTGACCGGCTTCCTGCCCAGAGTCTGTGTGCCCTGCCCGGAGGTGGCCATCTCCGCCTCTGGCGCATAAGTGTGTGTGGGTCACGGTGGGTGTGGGCAGATGTGGTTATCTCCGTCGGTATGAAATGGCACCGCTGCTCACCTCTCAGGCCTTGTGGGCGCATCTGCATTTGCTGGGGGCCCCTTGGCGTAGGAGAGAGAAGTTAGAATCCAGAAACATGGATCCAAGCCCCCATTCTCTCTGATTCCCAGCGAGGGGAGGGGGGCAGGGGGGCTTGGGCAAGTCTCTTAGCCCTTCGGAGCTCCGTTCCCCTCGCAGCCAGTCTGATTGACAGGCATGGCCGGGGGGACTGAGATGTGTAGATGAGAGGCTTTCTGGATGCCCTGCGGCCGCACCCGGGGCGCTGGCCAAGCCTGTGCCTGTCTGAGTATCATTCATTCATTCCCCAAACCCCAAGGGCCTGCAGGCAGTGTGGGCGCTGGCCAAGCCTGTGCCTGTCTGAGTATCATTCATTCATTCCCCAAACCCCAAGGGTCTGCAGGCAGTGTGGGCGCTGGCCAAGCCTGTGCCTGTCTGAGTATCATTCATTCATTCCCCAAACCCCAAGGGCCTCCAGGCAGTGTGGGCGCTGGCCATGCCTGTGCCTGTCTGAGTATCATTCATTCATTCCCCAAACCCCAAGGGCCTGCAGGCAGTGTGGGCGCTGGGGGAGCCACGCAGCTCCGCCCTCTCCGGAACTGGAGTTTGGGGGGCAGACGGCACAGATGCTCAGATAATTACTCCTTGCGCTTGGGCCGGGAGAATGCAAGGGGCTCCGAGTCCCTGTAGGTTTGCGGTGTGTGTGCATGCTTCTGTGACACACGAGTGTCTGAGCCCGTTCGGGCTGCTGTAGCACAGAGCACAGGAACTTCTTCCTCACGCTTCTGGAGGCGGGAAGGTTGAGGTTGAGGTGCTGGCAGGTTCGGTGTTTGGCGGAGGTTTCCTGGTTCATAGACAGTCACCTGCCCTCTGTGCCCCCACGTGACGGGAGTGGCAAGGGAGCCCCCGGTGTCCTTTATAAGGGACACTAACCTGGTTCATGAGGCCTGTGCTCTTGTGGCCTAATCACCGCCCAGAGGCCCCGCCTCCTAATACCATCACCTGGGGCCTTAGGATCAACAATGAATCTGGGGGCACAGACGTTCAGTCTACAGCAGTGAGCGTCTGTGGGTGCTGGCTCCGGCCCACACGCGTGTGCCACACACACGGAGGCGGCTATTGGTTAAATTCTATTGTGTGGCGTCCAGGGTGGAGAGGGCAGGGCCAAAGGGGTCTGTGAAACAGTGCCGGCGCCCGAGCAGTGACAGAGCCCCCAGCGGGTGAGTAGGTGAGGGTGGCCTATAGAGGAGGCCACTGTACACTCAGGTAATCCACCAGAGGCGGCAGCAGGTCAGGGGACGCGCAGACTCACTCCGGCTCCGCAGTAGCTCGCGTCAGCTGTGCCCTCCCTGGTGCGTGGGTGTGTGTCACCTCTGAGCCGAGGTCCCGTGACCAGCAGGTCACTTGGGTGTTCCCGAGCAGACTGGACTTTGCTCTGAAACCACTCTCCGCCAAGGCGATAAACACGTTTACAGGAGCGGCTGGGTTCCCTGCAGTGAGGGGGTGCTGTGTCTCGGGGGGACTGGCTGGAAGCAGGTCCCCCTGAGCAGCCAGGCTGCGTGGGGCGGAGAGGACAGCGGGGAGCAGGCGAGCAGCGAGGAATGGTCCAGCTGAGCAGCGGAGGCGGCGAGGAGGCTCGGTGGGGTGAGGCCGGGCCGTGGTTGAAAGGGCAGCCGCGGGCTGTGCTGGTGGGCGGATGTGGGGACTGAGCGAGACGCGGAGACGGGGCGACTTCACGTTTCTGTCTTGAGCAACTGGAAGAACGCAGCTGCCATTTACTGAGCTGTCCGGTGAAATATTCCTAACAGCCTCTGGGGTGGATAGGCAGGTGTTGGCCCAGTTCAGATGAGAGCACTGAGCTGTCCGGGGGCGGGGGGCGGGGAAGGGGGGCACGGTGAGATCTGGGGCACGACCTCCTGGGCCTCACCTCCTCCTCTGGAAAGTGGGGCCAGGACACCGCTTCCTCTCAGGGTTGTTGAGGAATGAAAGTGGGACGAGCTTTGGGAGCTGAGGCCGCTGGCGTTAGTGGGGGGGTGGCCCTGGGCGGCAGGCGGCCTCTCCTAGGAGCCGTTGGTCTTGGTTGCAGCACCATGGAGCTTCCGCAGGGCCCGAGGAAGCCTCTCTCACAGAGAAGAGCCCGGTCCTGGGACAGGTCGCAGAAGCCCAGGAAGGACCCGGAGTCCCGGGAAGGCCAGTACCTCTCCCTGCCCGCCACGCCCCCCAGACGGGCGCCTGCGGGGAGGGCCCGCGATGGCAGCCGGCACCTCAGCGGCCCAGGGTCTCCGGAGGCTCCGGGCCCCGAGGCCCTCAGCCTGGAGGCGGCCAGGGAGCTGCTCACCAGCGAGCAGAGGCCTCCGCGGGACAAGAAGGACAAGGCCCAGAGTCGCAGCCAGCAGGGGTGGCTGAAGACGATGCTGAACTTCTTCCTGAGGACAGGCCCCGAGGAGGCCAAGGACAAGGCCGCCAGGAGGGCCAGGGCGAAGGAGGGCCTGCCCCCGCCAGCAGACACCTCGGAGCCCAGGAAGAAAGCCCACGACAAGAAGGCCGGCCGCAAGAAGCATGGCCACAGGAAGCACGGGGATGGGGACACCAAGGGGCCCCCAGGCCAGGAAGCCAGAGGCCAGGACACAGCTGCTGCCTGGCGCTCCCAGGAGGCCAGCCAGGGCCCAGGACCCAGAGGTGAGCAGACCTACGCGTTTCTATGGTAACCCCATTGCCCACCCCAGGACTAGGGTGCTCTAAGCGGCTCCTCCAACCGCTCAACAGAGGGGACGGACGGAAGGTGGGACAGCTGCCAGGAGCCCCACCCCTGGGAGCTCCCTCAGACCGGCTCCACTGCCAACCAGCTGTGTGGTTGAGCCTTGATCTTTTCCATCGATAAAGTGGAGATGATGACAGTTGCTGTGTCACGGGGTGGCCGCAGCCCAGCGCTGGCCCGGGAAAGTGCCCCATAATGATCGCTGTTCCTGTGAAGTGCTCTTGTTTGAGGAGCATGGGCCAGGGAGGAGCGGGAGGCCAGGAGGGAGGCGAGGGTGGACGCCCGCCCTCCGCACTAGTCCTCAGCTGAGCACTGGGGGTGTCGGGGAAGTGGCAGGGCCAGTGCTGGGGGCTGGGTCTGACGTGGCACCAGCAGGAAGAGGCGTGCTGTATCATCTTGAGCAGGTTGCTGCCCCCTCTGGAGCCTTTGACTCATTTGTAAAATGAGGGAGCGGGTCCGAGGTGCCTTCCTTTCCTGACTCTGGCTCCTGGAGTTGAGTGCCCCCCCCCCCCGGGCACCTGGAGGGGAGGGCTCTGCCCAAAGTCCCCATGTTTCCTGGGGAGAAGAGACGCAGGGAGGCCCAGGATGGGTTGGGGGCGGGGGAAGGAGGTCTGGGTTGAGGCGGCCTCTTGGAATGGAAGCCTCGTTGGGTTCCTGGTTCTCTGGTGAGGCCCAGAGCGGGCTGCAGCAGCGCCCTCCTGCGGCGAATGCTGAGCTGTTTCCTTGTGTCCATTAACCAAGTCAGGAGAATGGCACTGACATGCCGCCCCCCCCCCCCCCCCCCCAACACACACACACACACTCACTTGCTTCTGCCTTCATTCCAGGCGGAGCGGACCCTGGTCCCCACCAGTCCGTGCTCATCGAGGGCCGGGGTGCTGGGGCCTCGGAGCCTTCTTCCCAAGCCACGGGCCGCCGGCCGGAGGAGGAGCCCCAGAAGCTTGACCAGCTTGACCGTGAGTGAGAATCTACTGTCCTCTGGCCGCAGCTGGGGACTGCCCGGGGGGGGGGGGGGACAGCTTAGGCCTTGGTTGCTCTTTAGGGTTCCACGAGGGGCGTCACAGGAATTATGTGCTAATGAGCATGGGACTCTTTGCTATTCTCTTTAAACTTATAAAAGGAATTTAGAAGAGAGGAAGATAGAATTTATGTATATATTTATGTATATAGTTGGCCATATTTGCTTTGTGAGTGTGTGTGTGTGTGTGTGTGTGTGTGTACTTTCGTTGCTGAACCATTTTAAGTAAAATAATGCTTCATCCTTAAATACTCGAGCCCAGGTCCCCAGGAAATAAGGACCGTCTCATACACACCCACACGCCTGGCATTGGCCCTAATAAAATCAGTGCTGCCCCATTAATCTACTTGCCTGTACAGAATGGGCATGCTTTTAAAGCTATGAAACAGGAGCTCTCGGCCCATCAAAGGATGAGTAAAAGGCATCCAGCTGGTCATTGTGCCAGATGTTTATTTTACATGCTGTTTCTCACCTGAGAGGGAATCAGCAGGTAGACAGAGGCGGGGAGTGAAAGCCAAGCAGGGTTTCTCACTGAGAGCGAAGAGAGGGGAGGGGTTGGGGGGGGGGCGGAGGAAGAGTCTGCGGACGTCCTGGGACCAGCTGGCAGCTAGCAGGGGCCGCTGTGGGCTCGCTGTCCTTGCAGAGTGGGCGGGGCTGATGTTACTTGTGGCTTCTCTGCAAAGACTGGGTAGCGTGGTTATGCATCAATCGGCCGGCTGTCTGTCTTGTGGGCGGAGTCCCTCCGTCCTCCAACCCCACCCGAGGCCAGGCCGGCACCCTTTCAGCCGTTTCTCCAATGGCATTTTGCAGGTTGGAAGGTCAGCGTTAGCCTTGAAAAGTATTTCCAAGCGCAGCCCATCATTTGATGGCCTGACAGCCTTCGGAGGGAAGCAGAGCAGGGATTACGATCCACATTTCACAGGAAAGAGAGGAAGGCCCAGAGAGATTAGGAAATGTACCCAAGGTCACACAGCTTGCTCAACCCGAGGCAGATATTCTCAGATCTGTGCGTTCTGAGGAAACAGCAGGGCACCAGGTGAACGTCTGAAGGACTGACCTGCAATGTCTTGCATGAAATCTCATGCCTTGGCCCAGTGCCCTTCCCCCGTGGACCTCCCAGCCTCTCTCAGAGGAGCAGCCCTGGGATCTGGTGCTTCCCACCACGTCTGAGGCCTCAGGAGATGCTCTAGGGCACCCCATTCAACACAGGAGGCCCATGCTGGTCTCAGAGTCCAGCACAGTCATTAGGAAGCGCGCTCTGTGCATCTAGAAAGATTCACCGGAATCCACTCTCTTCCAGAGGACACTATCATTCAGATGATAGTGCAGCTGCTCCGAGACGTGGGAGATGAGTGGGATGAAGAGGTGAGGAGCCAAGGAGAGGAGGAGGTCCCTGGGGCTTGATGCTTCTTTCCCCTCCTCCCCCTCCTCCTCTCCCACCTCCTTCCCCTCCTCCTCCCCCTCTTCCTCATCCTCCCACGCTCCCTCTCCCTCACTCTCTCCTCCCCCTTCTCCCCCTTCTCCTCCTTCTACCTGCCCTACCTGCCCTCCAGGCCCCCCAGCCCCCCTGCTCTGGACTCTGTCACCCCCTTGCCTGGGGACACCCCCTAGCACATGGCTGCCATTGAGTTGCTTCTCAGGGAGCTCTCCTCTCTCCTCAAGGTCAGGGACCTGGCCCAGTTTTTCCCATGCCCCCTACAACTTCAAGGCTCTCAGCGAGAAGTGGCCCCACAAAACCCGGCCCCAGCCGTGGTCAGGAAGAAATCCCAGGAGAGAAAGTCCAGCCTCAGGAGAGCCTCTTCTCATAAGAAGCAGGGCTCCGAGGAGCCCAGGAGAGCGGGGGCTGCGGATGCTCCCAGCCCGGAGTCCCGGCCGTCCAAGAAGCCCGGCTTCCTGTACATGTGCGTCGGGGGCCACCGGGCCTCCATCTCCAGCAGCGTTGGTGAGCAGGCTCACGGTTACCATAGCAACACTGCAGCTGCCTCCAGCTCTGGACGCTTCCCCAGGGCTGGAGCTGGCCGTGAAGAGCAGCCAGCCCCGTTGTGACCTTTGCTCTTCCCTGAGCAACATGGGGAGGGCCGTGGGGAGGGGAGGGGTGCCAGTGGGCCACCTCCACACACCAGACCTCCCCGCCGAGGCCACCCGTGAAGCCCCCACTGGGAACTGTATTCAGGGACCCCCATCGTCCTCATCTCTGCACCTCAGCCTCCACACCTGGCAGCGGGGAGCTGTGCAGGACGGAGGAGACTGGGAGGCGGGAGACCTGGGTTCTGGGCTATGCTTCCTATGTCGTCCTCCATCTCCGTGCCTCACTCTCCTTGCCTGTAAACTAGGACACCTGCCCACTGTGGACCTAGAACCTAGATCAATGAGCTCTCGGCCTTTTATTACCTCCATTTTACAGATGAGGGCACTGATCATTAGGGAGGCAAAACAGTGGTCAAGGTCATGGCCCATCAGTGATGGAGCCAGAGCCAGAGGGAGAAGGACCTCCTGGGTGTCAGCGGGAGCAGCCTATTTAAAAAGGAGGGGCAATGCTTTGAACCAAAGAGTGGGTTTTCCTGCTGGGGATTCTGGCCCGGAGTGCTGACTCATTCTATGTACCTACTCTCCAACTAGTGGATCAAGCCAGGCTGGTGGAGGGGTGAGGTCGCTAGGGGAGGGAGGCGAAGGAGTAAGCCCAAGAAGCCAGGTGTTCACGTGCAAGGCCCTGCCCAGCAGCTCACCTCCACCCTGGCTCACTCCCCAGCTCACTCCACGGTGATCTGGCCACAGAGCGAACGGTGGAGGCTCTGTCGCATCTGTGCAGTAGGTAACGCCTCGCACTAACAAAACACACTCACCATTTCATTTTGCTTCTCAGACTTGGAAGAACCTGAAGTCCAAGAGGCCTCGTCCACAGATTGTGGGGGTCCAAGTCCCTTCGAGCTTCCCATCCACACAGGAAGCCGGGCGCCCGGAGAGGACTTGCAGCCGGACAAAGCCTCAGAGTGCAGTCAGTACCCCTCGCCTTCCCCCCCGCCCCCGGGTCCCTTCAGAACGCCTGGCCTGACCCCTCCACTTGCAGAAGGGACACTGAACCAGAGAGGCAGACACTTGTCCTGACCTATGAGAGCGGCAGGCGCCCAGCCACACCGCGGTCACCCCCTGTCTGGGCCTCCCCTGCGAAACGCCCTCCTTGCGGGGCGGCCATAGGCGCTTCGAGGGAGGCAGTGGCTCACGGCACGGGCTGGGAAGACGGTGTGATTTAGGGCCTGGGTTTGAGTTTGGGCTCTGACCTCTTCCAGCCGCATCAACTTGGACACGTTGCTCCTTCTCTGGCCTCAGTTTCCTCATCAGTGTAATGGGGACAGTAATAGTGCCGGCCGCACAGAGCTGTTAGGCGCACTAAAGGAACGGATGCCCATGCAGCATTGAGAGCAGTGCCCCTTCGCAGCTGATAAACGTTAGCTGTCATTTGTTAGCTGTCATGGGAAGGGGGAAGGGCCCCAGGAGAGGAGCTCAGCAAATGGCAGCTGCCCTCACGATCATTACTGTCCCATGGGGGTGGGGGAGGGGATGGGGAGGGTGAGCTTGGAATCAGAATCCCTGTCAGCTCTGGTGCTGAGGGCACCCCGAAAGGCCTGCTCCCACCCCTCTGCCTTGTCTGCTTTCACAAAAATGTGCCTGGAAGGGGAATGGAGAGGGGCCCAGCGCCGCTTTCCTGTTTTCCTCTCACCTAATGGGGCGGGGGGGAGGGCACCCCTAGGTCCTCCCTGGGGAATGATCAGGACTATGTCCCCTTGAAGCTGCCTCTGCCCTCGGCCCCGCCTGAGGGATCTGTGAGTCCCTCGGGTCAGGACTGGGACAGCGCAAATGCAAGCTCCTTCGCGCCTAGGAGACCGGAGGACCGCCCACCCGGGGCCTTAGGAAATGAAGACTGACCCACACTTTCTTCTGCACTTTCTTTGTCCTTTTTTAGAAGAATTTATCCAGAAGATCATCGCCCTACTCCAAGATGCAGAGGAGCAGGAGGGGGAGAAGGTGAGGAGGACGTTCCCCGCCTAGGCCCTGACCCTCATTATGGACCCGGGTCCCTGCCTGGCACCATCACTTCCCTGCCCTCCCCAGTTCTACATCCTGCCAGAGCCCTGCTCCGGCCCCTCCTTCCCCGTCCTGCAGGCTCCCTCTCCCGCCCTGAGCATCAGCGGCTCTTCCCTCTGGGCCGCACACACCCTCTGGTCCGCATGGGTCTCCCTTCGTTCCAGGGGGTGCTGGTCTTTCCCCAGCTCACTTGCAATTTCCTCAAAGTCCAGGGCCTGACTCGATCTCTCTCGTCTCACCTGCAGCAGCTCCAAGTCCAGGAGCCAGAGGTGGCCTCGGAAAACCCGGCCCCACCCTGCAGGAAGAAATCCCAAGAGAAGAAGTCGAGCTTCCGCAAAGCCTTTTCCCATAAGAAGCATGGCTCCAAGGAGCCCAAGAGAGCGGGGGCTGCAGGTGCCGCCAGCCCGGAGTCCCGGCGGCCCAGGAGGCCCACCTATCTGCCCCTGTGTGGGGGGGGCCATCGGCCCTCCATCTCCAGCAGCGTTGGTGAGTGGGCCTGCTGTTGTCATGGTAGCAGAGGCAGCCTCTGACCCCTGGCTTCCTCCAGGGCAGGGGCTGGCCAGCTGCATGGCCTCTGGTTCAGTCTTGACTTTTGCTCTCTGCTCTGAACAGAGTGGGGAGGTGCGGGAGGACCGTGGGGAAGGAGAGGGGCGGGCTGCTGGCAGGACCCACCCCTCCCCACACTCCCTGCATCCCACACACACACTCCAGCATTTGAAAGCAAAGGTGGAAGGAGAACAGTGCCTCTGTGCGTTAGGCGAGTGCACCCGCTAATGGAGGAGCACAGGCCGAGGGCTGATGGAGGAGGATAGGCCGGGGCTGTCTTTCGCTGCTCCCAGCGAGGACCGCTGGTTCCCAGTGATCCCCTGACCTCTGGAGTGATTCTCCGTGCCACGCGCACACATAGTATCTCATTTAACCAGCTCACAACCTGCGAGGCCGTCTTGTTACTCCCATCGGACAGATGGAGAAGTGAGGTTCCCACAGGCTAAGGGACTGCAGGGTTACAGGGACAGTGAGCTCGCCTGGTGGGACCTGTTGGCAGGCCTGCTTGTTTTTCTCCTGGGCAGAGAGGAGGCCGAGGGATTGGTGTGAGAAAGAAAGATTTTGGGAGGGGGCAGGTAGAGTCCCGTGAACTCCTCTGATGTGAGCCCATGGGGCGGGGCTTACCCGGGAACAGAGGCCCCACTCCTGCCAGTGCCTGTGGACACTGCTGTCAGCCCCGGGCGCAGTGACACGCTTGAGGACTTGGTGCAAACACATTCACACCAGCTCCTTTTGCCCCAGATCCGGAGGGTCCTGAGTTCCGGGAGTCTTCGCCCGCAGAAGGGGGACGAGTCAGATCCTCAGCATCACCCTCCGAGGCCAGAAGCCACGAGCCAGAAGGGAGACCTCCGCCGGACGGAGCGTGTGAATCTAGTTAGTACCACCTGCTCTCACCTGGGACGGTGCCCCGTGGACTTACCAGGCTGAGCCCAAGTAGGGAATCGGAGGGCAGCTGGCAAATGTCCAGGAGACTAGAAGGCAGGGAGGGGAGGGGAGCCTTTCAGCTGGGGCTGCCGGGGCCGAGTTGGAGACAGAGCCTTCTTCAGGCAGAGAACACAGTCTATTCTAAGGGATGTAACTTCACCCCACCCCACCCCACCCACCCCACCCACCCCACACCATGGGTTTGCTCGAAGATTTCATTAATTCCTAGCTTGCTCTGGGTCCCCTAAGGAGAGGTGTGCTGGCAAGCAGGCTGGGCGGAGGGCAGGGGTGGTGTCACGCAGGGATGCCCGATCTGCAGCCTTTGCAGATTTCTGTGGTACAAATATCCCCACTGTGGCCAATTTCAACTGCTAGCAGTTGATAACCAGGGCCCACAGCCTCCCCAACCATTTGCAATGAGCCCTTGGTCTGAGCAGCCCCCGCACACCGCTGCTTGCAGCCTGGCCGCTCCATCCGTAGCCAGGACGTCCCTCTCCCCGTTTCTGGTCCCAGCTCCATTCCTGACCCTGCTGCTCTGAAGCCTGGGTGGGGACATCGAGGGCTCAGCTTTCGTATTTGTCAAGTGGCTGCGGGGGAAGCGTGGCCGCCCAAAGTCCCTTCTATTTCCGTAAAGCAACCAGGCCCAGCTCTCAGGCTCAGCGCTGGCTCGGGGAAGACACCCCTCTGCCCTTCACGACCAGCCTGTGCTGTGTGTTAGACACAGTCGTCTGTGAGCCACGTGTGACAGCACCACGTGCCCACTCTCCTTTACCTTCCAGAGGAGCTGGTCATCCAGCAGCTGGTGGCGCTCCTCCCAGGAGTGGACGGCCGTTTGGGGGAGCAGGTAAGAGTACTCAGTCCCCCCGAGGCCAACCCCGGGGCCTCAGCAACCCCCATCTCTGTGTCTGGGTGACCTTGGGCGTGTCCCTTAGCCTCTCTGAGCCTCACTTTCCTCTTTTGCAAACTGGGGGATAAATACCTACTTAGCAAAGTTTAGTGCATAGATAGAAAGTGCCGCACAGCTAGCAGATGAGATACAGGTTAGTTCAAAATAATATAAAGCTCGTGTGGCTCCCTGCCAGCCCGACCACCCCATCCGAGTCCTCCCTGAAGCTCAGCTCAAGTCCCACCTCCCAGGAGCCTCCTTCCAAGTCCGGATGGACTTGGCTGGGGAGGTCCTGGCACACCCTCAGCACCTATGTGACCTCTAGCTCGTTCAGGCTTTTAGATGTCCCTCCCCGGCTAGACAGCCTCTCTGGATGGTTCCCTGCCCTGGAAACCTCCATCTCCTCAGAGAGACACACAGATCGCTCCTGAAGGGTCACTGGTGGGAGCGCAGGTCGCAGATGAGTGAGTCGTGCGGCGGACGCTGTAGGTACCTGACCTCATCGGGTAGCCCGGCCCAAAGAGCCCGCATCCTTTGCAGAGGACTGGCCCCAGAGCCACTTTGCCACCCACGTGGTAGGTTAGAATGAACACCCGCCACCTCCCAGGAGCTGTCCTCCACCAATGGCTGATGGGAGCTAGTGGGTGCACACCCCAGCCCCTGGCTCCGGGGCTGGTTTCCTGAGTGCCCGAGGGGACTGTGTGGCTGCTCTCCCATCCGGCCCCAGCTCCTCATTTCCCATCAGGGTTTCCCCAGGATCATTTCCCCATAAGAGAGCTGCACCCCAGACCTGTCTCTGCTCCCCCTAAGGCTAGGGGCGGGGGGGGGGGGGGAACGACCAACCTAAGACATTTAGGTAGTAAGAGGAGGAGGCGTAGGGTGGGAACTAAAATTCATCAACATCTAGGCTGACACAACATTTTACATAAACCACCTCATCAACCCCTCCCCCGGATAATCAGGGCGGGGCATCCGCCTCCCGTTTCTACAGACCGAGCAGAGGCTCCGAGAGCTCACAGCATAGGTGTGGTTAGACCAGCCGTGGGCAAACTACGGCCCCGCGGGCTGGACCAGATCCTGCCCATTTGAAATGAATAAAACTAAAAAAAAAAAGACCGTACCCTTTTATGTAATGATGTTTACTTTGAATTTATATTAGTTCACACAAACACTCCATCCATGCTTTTGTTCCGGCCCTCCGGTCCAGTTTAAGAACCCATTGTGGCCCTCCAGTCAAAAAGTTTGCCCACCCCTGGGTTAAACCCAGCTGTCCCACTCCAAACACCTGCCCCTCGCCCCCAGGTTGTCCTGCTGTTTGCAGCGGGACCTTGCAGAACAGATTCTGAGCGGCGAGGGGAGGAATGGAACCAGGAGCTTATCCCAGGGACAATGAGGCCCGCCTGGCTGCATGGAGTTGAGGGAGAGGCGGTGGGTGGGAGGGTCGCCTGCCAGCAACACTGATGGCTGCCTTCACTTCTGCTTCCAGATCAGGCGACACCCCAGCCTTAAGAAGTTTTTCTACCAGCTCCCAGACTCGTCCCTCAGAAAGCTGGCGGCCACCCTGCGCAGACGGGGCGCCTGCTCCACTGAGCCCTGCAGGGGCCTCACGGAGAGGCCCTACCAGTTTGCCTTCGACTTGGCCAACAAGTACGCTGGCAGGAATGGGCAAGCTGCCCTCAGCCTGATGGGCCTGCGCTACCCCCAGCTTCCACACACGGAGGCCCCGCAGGTGAGACACGCGATGTGGCGCGAGTGATGAAAAGGTTGACAAGGTCGGGGTCACGACGGGATCTACTCACTGTCCCCTCCCTCTCTGCCTAGTTCAGGACTTTTGGGGTCCAGCTGAAGTGCCACCCCCTTGCTGAGGCCTTCTGAGGCAGTTCTACACCAGTGACCTTTTTCTCTCCCCAAACCCTCACTGGCTTTACTTGATAATTAACATCGTCTTCATTTGGCTCTGGTCTCAACTGTGTGCGTTTCCATACTTTTTGTTAAAGGAATTCATCTTTTTTAAAAAATATTTTTTTAAATATATTTTTATTGATTTCAGAGAGGAAGCGAGAGGGAGAGAGAGATAGAAGCATCCATGATGAAAAAGAATCATTGATTGGCTGCCTCCTACTGGGGATCATGCCCGCAACCCGGGGAAGGTGCCCTTGACTGGAATCCAACCCGAGGCCTTCAGTCCGCAGGCCAATGCCCTATCCACTGAGCCAAACTGGCTAGGGCAGGGGTGGGCAAACTTTTTGACTCGAGGGCCACAATGGGTTCTTAAACTGGACCGGAGGGCCGGAACAAAAGCATGGATGGAGTGTTTGTGTGAACTAATATAAATTCAAAGTAAACATCATTACATAAAAGGGTACGGTCTTTTTTTTTTTTTTTTTTTTAGTTTTATTCATTTCAAACAGGCCGGATCCGGCCCGCTGGCCGTAGTTTGCCCACGGCTGGGCTAGGGCTTTAAATATGTTTTTATTGACTTTAGAGAGAGAGGAAGGGAGAGAGAGATAGAAACATCAATGAGAGAGAAACATCCATGATCAGCTGCCTCCTGCACGTCCCCTACTGTAGACCGAGCCCGCAGCCCGGACACGTGCCCTGCCTGGGAATCAAATGGCGACTTGGTGCATGGGACAGCACTCAACCAACTGAGCCACACCGGCCGGGCTACTTTCATGCTTTTTGATATCAGCATGGGGTATGGGACTGGCTGCTGTCTTAGCTTACCCTCTTATTGTTCCATGGGTTCTGCTGCGTGGCTTCCCAATCTGAGGCTGCCATAAAACTGAAATAACGAAGCAGAGTAAGGTTGCATATCAAACAAGGGCTGGAGGAGTGAGCACCCGGGGGTGCTCCTTCACAGGCCTGAGTCCTTGATTAAGACCCTCCCCTGCCCCACGCTCACTCTTCTGATTGCCTCATGCTTCCCCCTCCCCCAAGACTCTGAGATTCCCATTTAGAAATAACATTCACCACGGATGTTTTTAAAAATCTGAGCTTTCACATGTACTTTGGAAGACTCAGATAAACAGTTTCCCCCACTCCTTCCAAATCCTCTTAACATAACCTGCTTACAAACACTGGGCCCAGATCTGCAGAGCAGAAGCTACTGAACGAGGGTGTGACTTTAGGGCAGTGGTTCTCAACCTTCCTAATGCCGCGACCCTTTAATACAGTCCCTCATGTTGTGGTGACCCCCGACCATAAAATTATTTCCGTTGCTGCTTCATAACTGTAATGTTGCTACTGTTATGAATCGTCATGTAAATATCTGATATGCAGGATGTATTTGCATTGTTATAAATTGAACATAATTAAAGCATAGTGATTAATCACAAAAACAATATGTAATTAGATATGTGTTTTCCGATGGTCTTAGGCGACCCCTGTGAAAGGGTCGTTTGACCCGCCAAAGGGGTCGCAACCCACAGGTTGAGAACCACTGCTTTAAAGGAAAGAAATGTTCTGTTTGTTGGTGTTGGACACACAGAACCAGAACTTCTACATCCTAATGGCCCCCCCGGGAAACAGGAGCATCATTGCAATGTCGTTACCATCACTCAAACACTCTGTCTTCCTCTCCTGGAATTAACTACCCTTGGAAGCCGTGTGCTCAGTCTTACAAGCTACACATATTTGCTGCTTGTTATTCAAATGCTCTGCCCAACAGTGGCTTGTTCCCCCGCTGAGAACTCCTTGTGACCTCACACCTCTCCTTTCTCAGCCTTACCGTCTTCTCCCGAGAATGGGGTATTACAGGTCACTTGCCCTGTAGGTCATAGTTTATAGAGCCATCTGAGTTCTCTGTGGAAGATACTGGAAACATCAGTTCTGACATCCTCAGTAGCCCTAATTCCTTCCTCTGGTTCTATCATTCCTTCACTCATTCATTCATCCACCTACTCATTCAACCAGTAGACAGTGTGCAAGGTGCTGTGAGGGCCTGTGGAAGGTTCTGCTAGTGGAAAAGACAGACTGATCCCTGCTGACAGAGTTAAATATCAATTACATGCCCAATTACTGGTAACTGAGGTCAAGAAAGCAAGTTGCTCTGGGAGACTTCCAGGAGGTGGCAGGCATTGGTTTTCACTTTCGAGGCCGGAGAGGCTGTAGATGGGGAGAAGGGACCAGGAGGGCACTGTGGGCAGAAGGCACTGTGTGAGCAGAGACCTGGAGGGGGAGCTGGTGTGGTGTGGTGATGAGCGAAGGAGACGTCTATTGTTATCAGACGCCTTGGGCTCTGGCTAACACCTATGTTCCTTTTCTCCTCAGAACATCACAAGTCTTGACATCCAGAGTCCAGACTGAAAGCTGTGCCTTGCACTCAAGTGCCCTTGAACTAGCCAAGCAATTGGTGGCTTTGCCAGGAGACCCCGAAGATGCTCCATGATTGTCCCAATCCGCTGCTTCCCAGACACGATTGCAGATAGAGGACAGCCTTCCGTGTCCTCACATCACCGTAGGCGTGAGACTGAGAGCGCACGACGCATTCTCCCACAGAGCGAGAGGCGGACACACCCTGTTGGGAGAAATAGCACTGGACTGGGACTTGGGAGACGCCGGGCTTTGACTGCTGACCTGCTTCAAACTTGCTGCAAGACCCTGCATGTCCCCGGCCCCGCAGACCTCGGGTTCTGGGTGAAGGGGACCCACTGTGTCCCTTTGGGTCCTGTGCTCCGAAATCTGTCTAAAGAGGGGTGGTGAGTGCTTTTACGCTGCGGCTAAACATAGCCTCCCCCCTGAGCTGGAGGCACTCGCCAAATGAATGAATGCATGAATGAACAGAAAGTTGGAGAACTCCAGATCCAGGCAGCTTGTCAGGCATCCCTGGAGGCCTTGCTCCTCAGCTGGAATTGTACAACCAGGGGTTCTGTCTCTGCGCTGTGGGGTGGGGAGGAAGTGGGGGAGCCACCTCGACAAGCACTGGACCAAACTCTACATTCTGGGACAACCCTGGTGCCGACTTGTGCCCTTGAGTGTCTCCTGGTTTTCACTTTCATTTAAGAGTTACCAAGTCCTTAATCTTATTATTTTTTTTTTTTTACCAGCATGTATTTTATTGATCCACAGAGCTAAAAATATGGCCACTAACATATAGAACACCTGCTGACATTTTTTCAGGTGCTAGTTTTAAATGGGTCTTAGTTTCAAAAGTACATTGAACCTCTCACCAGAACACCCACATGCATTTGAACATGCATTTGCGCCTCTATGTGCGACACATCATTTATTCAGTTGACAGGGTCCACAGGGACTTGTAGACGCCGCCCAGGAACTCTGTAGGCCAGAGAGGGACGACCTACGCACTGGGGCTCGCGGTCTCAGACCTTGCAGCCCTGCGTCCTGTAATTCTATGGGCAGAGAAAGGAAGCCGGTGCCTTGCAGCCTCGCATGGGCGTTTGCCGAGAGCGAGTGAGGAGTGTGAAGGTTCTGAAGATGGCATAGGCCCTTGTCCACTGTGTCATCGTCAGACAGTGTTCTTACAGCCACAGTGCGGTAGTTTTCAGGAAGTGGGGAGGGTTCCAGCTGGCTCACCATGGGCTGCACGGCGCGCTGCTCAGGGGCACCTGGCCCAGGAAGTGCTAGTCACCTCTGGGCGTTGCGCATTTGTAGATTTCTGACGACAATTTTCCAGCTCATGCAGGCTCTCATTTGTGTCCAAAGGTGAAGTGTGGGCCGTCAGGGGCTCTGCCGTCTACCCAACTGAACAGTTTCAACAGCTTGGCCCCAGGGAACCATTTCCACGTGCCATCACCTACATGCACGCCCGCAGGGCTAGAACCGCAGCCTGGCCACAGGGGAGGGCTGCTGACACCTGGCTGGCAAACTCAGTCTTGTCAATGAGCACCATGGGGTGGGGCTGGGGAGGAGAAGCCCCGGGCAGAGAGGCCTTGGGTGTTCAGATGGGACTGACCTCAAACCTGAGGCAAAGTTTAGGAATCGCAACTAATCACATTCTGAAAGTCATTGAGTGTTATTGCTGCTAAGAAGGGTGTGTGTGTGTGGGGGGGGGGGGGGGTGCGAGCTATTTATGGGTTTATCTTAGGTGGTGTGTAGGAACACAGCGCCAAATGTGAAGGATGGGAACCAGTTTTAAATGGGGGTCAGGAGCCTTCTGTTTGTGGTTTCTCATTCGGAACGATGCTTTTTAAGCTGCATGCGTGTTTGGTGTGAGCTCCCGATGCTGGCATCTGTCTCATTTTTGTACTGTGTTATTTGGACAAATAAACAATTTGCACAGAGGTCTCAGGTGTGTCATTCACAGTGGAGACAAGATGGGGGCCCACAGCCACATCCAGGCCAGTTATGTGCCTACAAGGCTGCGGGGTCGGCCTCCTCGTCCAGCCGGGGACCGTCTGGACGCTTTCCCGGTGTCCCCTCCTTGGGTGCCACCTTGCTCAGGCAGTGACAAAGGTGCTCCGGGCTGGGCCTTGGGTGGGAGAGGCTGCCCACAGGCTGACGACCTTGGAGACAGACACTTGCCCTCCAGACCTGGCATCCTGCACCTCTGCGGCTCTTAGGGTGACCGTTCCTTGTTTCGTCCAGGAAAATGTGGGCCCGGCCTCATTCTCAATCACCTGTTTTATCCGTCCTTAAATCCTGACGCCCAAACTGTCGCTCAGAACCAGGATAGACTTGGCAGAAGCCAGTGCGTGGTTTGGGTCTGGAAATGTGGTCTCCACCGGAAGGCATCGCAGGCCTCCTTTCCCCACTCAGATCACATGGGAGTTCTGCCGTGGCTCCTGGGGGAGGCGACCCTGTTGTGTGGTGGCTTGTGTTCTTTTCAAACTACATTTCCGTTCCCCGAGCCCGGATGCTCACGGGAATGCTCTGTGGAGGGAGGAGAGGGCAGCGCTAGTATCCTCACCTCCCAGACGAGGACGCTAAAGCTCAGAGTGGGCGGTGCCTTGTTCAAGATCACAGAACCCCTGTTATAATGCCCCCCTTACTGACTAATCCAGCGGTCCTCACGGGCCTCACGGACCTTTAACCCATTAACTCATATATCAAACCAGCACTTATCGAGCACTTATCACGTGCCAGGGCTGATGTGAAAGACACAATCCTGCCCTCAGGATGCTAATGGACCTCAGTGGTTATGGGACTTTCGTGCCATTGGGAATACAGGGTGGGGGACACCGTATGAGGGTGGGCCTCCCTCGATTCAGACCACGGAGGTTTGCAAGTGCCCTGCAGTGCACGCGACCCTGCTGCTTTGAAAGGTTTGAAAGGCGGGCAAGTAACATCAGGACATAATTAAGCTAATTTCTCACCCTGAGCAGTCAGGAGGCTAAGCGGGTGAGTCTGAGACAACGGGGTCAGCAGAGAACTGGTGAGTTGGGGGTGTTAGCTGGTCACAGAGGGCCGCACCGCCACTGTCATTCAGATTCGCTTGTTTGGAAAACCAGTGTGTTCTGGCCTTGGCCCCAGTGAGGCCTCCCCGTTTCAAAGCAGGTGACTGGCTTCAAAAAACAATCCATTCGTGTGTTTTTTGTTGTTTTTGTTTTTAAGAGCATAAAAAGGAGAAAGGAACTACTTAGGGTTACCAAATTTAGCAAATAAAAATATGGTGGCCCTGTTAAATTTGAATTTCAGATATACAAAAAAATAATAATAATTGCAATACTGGGGACATACTTATACTAAATAAATACTCATTATTCACCTGAAACACAAATTTAACAAAGCTTCCAGTATCTTATCTGGCAGCCCTGAAACTAATGCAAGAACAATTCTCTTGATTACCTCAAATGGGGGAAAAGGAAATTAAGCAAAATGAAGGAAAATATATAAGGGGACTTTCTGATACTTATAACTACAGCATGAGAGCAGCTGGGCTCTGAATCCGGGCTCTGAGCTAGACAGCAGGTACTACCCTGTGCAGTTCTCCCTTGCACACCAGGGGACACGCACTCCTGAGCTGTGCAAACTGACCCTCCCCCTCCCCATGGCTCAGGCCTCCGGGCACAGCCATCTGCACAAGGAGAGGCCTGCAGCGGAGGCCCGGGCTCCCGGAACCAGGCGCTCCCTGGGCCACAGAACCAGGCAGGCAGGGGTCCAAGTACACCCGAGACTTGACTCTGCTCAGGCCTCTCCCAGGCACATCCGGGTCTTCCGGGCAGAAGCTTCTGAGGGGCTTGCGAAGACTCGTGTTCCCCGACGTGGTCTCCTTACGAGCAGGCTCCACCAGGGCCCCCTTCCATACGCCCCTTCCCTCCGTGGCTAAATCTGCTCCGTCCTCCTGGTGCCCAGCCCCGTTCAGGGCCGTCTCCCACCCCGCCCCTGGGTTTGGGGTTCGAGGGCTTGTTAGGCAAATGCATCTGAGGCCTTGGACAGCCTGGGCGCCCTCACTGGGCCGGTCGGGCTGGAGGGGCTCCTTTTCCAGGACAGGCTGGGGAAACTGAGGCTGGAGGTGTCTTTCTTGTGGCACATTTCACTTCGTTTCGGTGTGAACAGCGGAGTCTGCCCTCACTCAGGCTGGGGGAGGGGAGGGACGTCTGGCCCCATTTCCTCTACAGCCACACGGACTCAGGGAGGCCAGAGCCGCCAGCCCCGCTCGCTGCCCCCCAGTTCCCGGAGCCGGAGCCGGGGAGGCTGCCGCAGCCTCAGCTCCATCAGGGGCTCCAGAGGCGGCGGCCAGTCCACGTGGAGCCTTCAGTGAACAGGAAACAAAACTCAAGAACTTGGTCTCTTGACCCCACAGGAAACGGGAGCGTGTCCATGGCTCAGCCCTGCCGGACCCTCCAGAGTTTTGCCCCGTGGACTAGATCCCGCGGCTGGGACCCATCTGGCCCACGCTGGGGCTAGGGCTGGGGCTGGGGCTGGGGCTGTGGGGGGGAGCAAGGCCCCGGGCCCGCCAGCAGGAGGGCTGCGCTGCATGCTCCTCAGTTCCCGTCCTGGTCCGCCCGTCTGTCCAGAGCAGGGGAGTGGAAGCTGAGAGGATGTGAAGACAGGAAGGTGCTCGCCCGGGGAAGCAGGACCCTCTACACCAACAGGCTTGATAGTGGGTGTCACCCTGGTCCCCCAAAGGCCAAGGGCGAGAGGACAGCATCTGAGGACAGTGGGGAGAAGGCTCGGCTGGGCTCCTCAGGTTCTCTCCCGTTCCAGCTCGAGTTCTCGCTCTCGGCTCACAGCTTCCTGGAGGAAGGACACAGACTCATCATTGCTAAGTCCCTCGCCTCGGACTTCCCTCCGCGACTCCCAGGGAGAACATTCTCACAGCTGCGTACCCTGGGGCATCCTGGGCATGTGCCAGGCCCCACCATGGCCGCCTGACGCGTCCAAATCCGAACTCTCCATTTACACCAAAAGACAGAAGTTCACTTCGTTACTAAGAGTGTTTGAAACATTACAAAAGCCCGGTAATATGTGGGTTTTCGGGAAGGGGAAGAGGCGGAGGCCCCGCACGCTGGCCAAGGATACACTGCCCACACAGGCATAGGCCCCGCGCGAGCCTTATGGCACATGTTATCGTACGGCTTCCCACGCTATTTACACAGCTCTGTCGCTCTGTGTGTCACTCATACAGATTTCTGCAGTTAGCAGGCAATTGTTCTAACAAAAGCAGCGCATATGACAACCTTCCACAGCTGGCAGTCAAGTTCTCAGGGAAGGGGTGCTGTTTTCTTAGTGCACAGGCAGTGCATGGGCTAGTGTTGGCCTTGACTGTGACCAGGAAGAGGCCAGCGGGCGGGGGGCGGGGAGGGGCAGGAAGGAAGCGGGGATGAGGGTACTCAGGAGTCACCACAGCATCCCGGGACAGGGCAGCCGTGTCTGGCCTCCAGGGACACCCTGGGGAGTGCCACACCTCGGGGCTGCTGCATTCCTGGGTCCCGCTGGGGTGAGGCCTGTAGGTGAACCACACAGTCTTGGAAGCGGAGAGCGCAGAGAAGTCGGGTGGGCAGGGAGCAGGCCTGGGTGTGAGGAAAAAGGAGACAAAAATGGGGGATGGGAAGACCTGAGTTCCAAATGCTCCTCTACCTGCTGTGTGACCCTGGGCAAGTCACTTGCCCTCTCTGGGACACTGCAGGAAGGGACCTGCCGAGCCCCTTGGAGAAATGCTGGATGTGAATGTGCATATTCCTGGATACTTTCCAGTCTGACTGTGTTATTCTAGTGTTTAAACCCTGTGATGACTCCTCAGCACCACAGGCAAAGCCCAACCTCCTTAGCACGGCACCCCGCCCCGCCACGTCTTCTGTGCACCTCCAGGCCTCTCCCTGCCCAAACAGAGAAACAGGACTAGACCCTCTGACTTCCGACTCTGAGTCCAGCTCTGGTGGCTACCATGGGTGGCCAACGCCTGGTGACAGACCCCTGGATTTGGATCCTGCCTCTGCCACCATCCAACTGTGTGACTTTGAGGATGTTCCTTAACCTCTCGGCGCCTCAGTGCTTAGAGCCTAATTAACTGCTATATAAATTTTAGCTGTAATTTCTACGCTCACATTCGAACAGGTGGAAGTTCCATAATGACTCAAAGGAGTGGCTCTCCAGTGTGGAAATTGGGGGAGTCTGACAGACTTGGTAGCAATTAGGGAAATCTGAGTAGCAAGTAGCAAGATGGACCTCTTCCCGTTCCACTTGCAGCCTGCAGGCGGTCTCTCAATTTATCCTCTTTCCACTTGGAGGCCAGTTACACAACCCGAGTGAGATGACAGACAAGGTGAGCAGAGGAAAACTATGCTGACACATATATCTGGCCATGCTCAGAGAAGGACAGCTGGAGCAAAAACTGCTGGTCCTGGGACGAAAGGGCCAGGGAGCAGGCTTGACCCCAGCCTGTGGCCCAAGTAGAGCTATTCCATCCAACCCATAGGCCCAGAAAGAGAAAAACGAACGTTTGCTTTGTAATGCGTTGAGATCTGGGGTGGGTTGTTTGTTATGCAGCATTATCATAGCAGCAATAACTGACTAATACAACTGCATCATAGTATGTATGGAACACCTACACTGTAGCTTTCATTCTAGCCTCTCTCGTTTTTGGGGGGAAGAATATCAGCTGGGGACCAGGAGTTTACACAGGACTAGCCCGTGGATGAGACGGTGTCCCTGTGATTGTAGTTTGGGAGACAATGAGCAGATCACGCCTTCTTCTCTATGCCTAGCATTTTTGAGCTTCTCTTTTCTGCACCCTACTACCCTGGTCTTTGAAGCTCAGAGCAGTGAATCTGTGTGGAGTTACTTCAGCTCAATTGGTGAATTGCCTCCAGGCAGTTTCATAACCTGATCTGGAAAGGAGCATTGCGGACAGATCAGCACGTGTGACCACCGACCACAGAGTCTCCCACAGCTTATGAACGTTGTTTTGTCTGTCTGACCCCAGCCCGCTTCTTCCTAAAGCACCTGGATTCCTAGGAGTTTGTCACCAAGCTGAACTGCAGAGTTCCCACTGCTCTGACGTGTGGGGAGAGGCCTGGCCCGGGAATCAAGGGCCTGAGTCGGGGCTGGCTCCCAGATGGCACTCCCACGCCCCCGGCAGACCTGCCCCCATGCTCCTGGCCTGAGCTGCTAGGGAGAGAGATGTAGACACTCAAGGTCAGGGAAGTCTTGGAGTTGGACACCAAGGCGCAGAGTGAGAATAATCCCAGGCTGCACTGACCCAGTGGCCACCAGGGGCCGCCAACTGCTTGCTGGGCCCTGAAGCCTCCCTGCCCATCCCGAAGGTGCCTGGAGGTCTGCCCCGCTTCCGGTGGCAGTTCTGAAAACCTCCTCCCCACCATACTGCTTCCCACCACCCACCAGGTACCTACTCGCCCCCATCCCTCTGCCTACCCAGGGACCCCTCCCCGGACAGGAGCACCCTGGAAGGATGTCCCTTAGAATGATTTAGGGATTTTTCCTCTGAGCAATAAACGCTTGAAGAAAATTAAATAGCAGCACAGGTCTGTTCCTTCAGAGAATACTTTGATAATCCAGCAAAGTAATTACAGGTGATACCAGCTTGGTTTGTGTTTGAGGCTGGTGCGCTGGATTTGCTAGTGTGTATTTATGGATCCATGTGACTAAAACAGAAGCTTGGTAAAAAAAAAAAAAAAAAAAAAAGAAGGCTTGGTTTCTATGGGGCTCATAGTTCGTCAGATCAGTAGGTTTTATTCTTGTCTTTGGCCTGAAGTTCAAAGTTCAAGAGAAACTCTTGGAAGTTGGGATTGAGTTTAATTCACCTTTGATTTCCCTGGAGCCTGGAAGAGTGCTGGGGGCTTACTGGGTGCTCCGTCAGTGTCGATCAGTGAAATCAATGACAATATAATATAGTCAAAAAGCTATAAGCAGCCGGCCTAGGCTGGCGAGGGCTTTTCGCTGTAGGGTGGGAACCGTCAGGGGCTCCACGTGTTGAGGGTCATGTGGGATTGACCTGTCTAGTTTGTTTTCAGGGGCAGTTCTACCCAGGAGCTGAGAGGCACTGGCCCGCCTCCGGGAGTCATATGACCTTGGCCTCTGCTAGTTGTTGGCTGCTGCTGCACACCTTGCTCCCTGCGAAGCACCGTACATAGGTGACGTCACTAAACGCTCACTGAGTGAGCCCGTGGCTGATCGCGGATCTCATGTCGGGCGCGTCCTATCCCAAAGCCCAGGTCCTAACCCCACCCGGTAATCTTCCTGCAGCCCATGCCCACGCCGCTCCTGCCCGTGGATGTAAGAACGTCAGCCATGCTCACTGCACTTTGCTGCCTGGCTTTTTGGGTCGCGGATGTCTCGGGAAGCCTTTTCTGGTGCCGCTCGTCTTTGGTTTGTTCTTCTTGAACGCCTTGTTCACCCAGTTGGAGTCTCCGGGAGGGCTCACCCTGGGCAGAGAGAGGCGGTAGCGGTTTGTTAGTGACCGTCCTGTGCCCCCCCCCCCCCGCCAGGGCCCTGCTCCAGCTGAGGAGGTGTCAGACACACCAGAGTGTGGCTCTGGGCCCGGGAGCGTCGGAGTTCCCCGCGGCCTTTATTTTGTAATCAATGAATATTTATTTGTCTGAGGAACATGCCAACTAGTCAACAGAAACTCTAACTTTTATATGGTTATATGTCAATGCAATAAAGTGTAAATCATGTGAACAAAATGCATACTTTATGCCCAAGCACCAAATTATTAAATGTATGCAAACTCTGCCCTGGCCAGTTTGGCTCAGTGGATAGAGTGTCGGCCTGCAGACTGAGGGGTCTGGGGTTCAATTCTGGTCAAGGGCACATGCTCAGGTTGTGGGTTCCATCCCCAGTAGGGGGCGTGCAGGAGGCAGCCAATCAGTGATTCTCTCTCATCATTGATGTTTCTGTCTCTCTCCCTCTCCTTTCCGCTTTGAAATCAATCTATAATAATAAAAGGGTAATATGCTAATTAGACTGGATGTCATTCCAGAGGTGTTTCTGGATGAAGCCGGGGGGTTGGAGGGAAGTCCGGGTCTCAGGTGCCAGAGGGAAGCTGGTGCCGGCAGCTGGGGGAAGGAAGGCCGACTCTTGCACGAATTTTGTGCATCAGGCCTCTAGTAAAAATATATTTTGAAAAATTTATGCAAACCCATTCAAAAAGTTTTATATTGAAATTATACTGGGAGAAGGAATCGACTCTGTTTTAATGTATTTGCTATGACGTGATATGGAGGGGCAGCATGAAAAGTAAGGGGCCCTGCTCTCCCAACCCCTGCAGCTGTGGCCAGAGAGAAGCCCAGCCACCACCAGAGCTGCCCAGCGGCAGGGAGGGGTGAGGCTCGGGGGGAGGTGCCCGGTCCGCCCTCTGACCTCCTGCTGGTGCCTTGCACTGGCTCGCCCACTGCTTTCCAGCCAGTGGGGGAGCCTGGGAGCTTAAAATCATAGAGGTCCCCAGACCCCCTCGGAAGGGCTGCAAAGATGATCACGGAGCACGTGTGACACGACCCCGACCGCTGACGTGTACCATGAGAAAGGTTTTTCTGGGGACCACCCACAACACAGGAATGTTAGCCTCTTATCGTGCTGGCAGCAATGAACCGGGTGAAGGGAGGCCCTCAACTCATCGGCGCAGCGGCCGCTAGGGCTGGGGTGCTCTCGTGAGCCGTCACCAGTGTCCCTCTGCACTTGAAGGTGCTGCCCAGTGCGCGGAGCAGGGAGCTGAGGAGAAGGGCACTGTCGGCGTGAAAGGCCCCTTTCCCACGCAGGGTCCCCACTGAAGAAGACAGAAGAGGGCGGTGGTCTGTAACCACACGGACTGGAAAGGGATCCCAGTGTCCCCGGGGCGGGGAGCGAGGCGGAGGTGTCCCTTAGCTTTCCCGCATCCCAGGCGAGACCTCCGTCCCAGCGCAGGGGAAACTCACGCGGCGTCCGGCGCGCTGCTGGTCTCCTGCACGGCCGCCGGGGGCGCGGAGCTTCGGGGACTCAAAGAGGCCGGAGGAACTGCAGCCAAAAGGAAAAACGCAGGAGACAGGAGTGAGACGGCGCGGGGAAGGGTGCTTAGTCTTTTTATTTATTTGTTTGTTTGTTTGTTTAATTTTTTTTGTCACCCATCACGTCACCAGCATGCTGCTCAGCCAACAGGAGGCAGGCCATTTCATAAACAGCACAAAGGCAGGGAAATTTTCCCATCATGCAAAAGCTACTGTCTGTACAGCATTGTGTAGGTTACAAAGCGTTTTCATCTACATTACCTCATTCAGGGCAGGCCTGCCTGTCCCCTCCCTTCCCTGTTTTTAAGAAAGACACAGCGAAATGATATGACCAAGTTCTAGACAGGACCGAGGAAAGACCAAACCCCTCTCTAACCCCCAAAGTAGATAAGGGGGCCCTAAAGCTTAAAACATGAAAAACAAAACAAGTCTGTCTCCATTTCTATTTTACCTTTTTTAAAATATATATATATTTATTGATTTCAGAGAGGAAGGGAGAGAGAAAAATATCACTGATCAGAGAGAATCATTGATTGGCTGCTTCCTGCACGCCCCCTACTGGGGATGGAGCCCACAGCTCGGGCATGTGCCCTTGACTGGAATCAAACCTGAGCCCCTTCAGCCCGCAGGCCGATGCTCTATCCACTGAGCCAAACCGGCTAGGGCCATTTTGCTTTTTGCCAAAGTTTTCCTCTTTTGTCCTGAACTACCTGGGCAGTTGTGTCTTCCTCGTTTTTTGTTAGTGTGAACCTGGAAATTGACGAGGTGCTGCTCGGTAGTGCTGCCAGTGGTTAACAGCGTGACATCAGAAATGTTTAGTCTTTTCTGATATTACAATCGGAAGTAAGCGAGAGTGTTCAGAAAGAACAGCGAACTGTCGGTTCTCAAATTCTCGTCTGTGGGACCAAAATCTTACTGTGCCCTTGACCGCGATGCAGTGGAAGGACTGAGGCTGACCCTCCATGTAACATCATAACGTCCCTCACAGAGCAGCCATGCGAGGGAAAGTGCCAGAAAAACCCACAGGGGCCCCGACCTTCCATCACCGGCTCCGTGGACTGCTTTTCTCATTTTTTTAAATAAAAAATATTAATACTTTATGACTATGCTCTTAAGTGCATTGCATGTTTTCAGGGTCTGGGGATATATAAAATACGAAGATTAATATATAATTATGTAACTAAAAATAACATGGACTCTATTTAGATTCCTCTACCTGAAGTTCTTTCATTTGGGGGCCTGGTGGATATCGCAAATCTACTTGCAGTTCCTTTGTTGGGGGATTTTCCCAGGGCTTCTTGTAGCACCCCACCCCCTGCCACATGGCCCTCACTGTAGGACTGACAGCGCTGAGCCTAGGGGGTTCCTCCCTGCCCACCCCCCACAGCTGGCTTGGGATGCCACAGCGGCTCGGCCGGGGGCTACACAGGGGTCCCGCCTCGCAGACTGAGTTGAGGGCGGTGCTGTGCACTGTAGGGTGCTCAGCAGCATCTGGCCTCCAGGCATGGCCAACGTCTCCGGGGTAATCGCCCCCAGCTGAGAACCGCTGGGCTCTCTGCACCTCTGTCCACCCCCAGGGGGCGTGAGGAAGCTCAGGATGGCTCAGGCACCTGAGGATCGCTACCTTTAGGCACCGGTGTGATATAAAAATACATGCATTTTATTTCACAAGAAATAGAGAGTATGTGAAACACTTGGACCAATTTTCTGACTTTTACTATCCTTGGATTTTTTCTCATTGCTAATCTGTGCTACTGTTTACCCTAATAATATGGAAGTTTGGCTGCTGGGCCGTAAGGACCCTTCATTCCATGATCTGGGCCCTGTCCCTTTGCCCCCCCCTGACCATCCTCTTCATCCTGAATGTACTCTGCACTTTCCTGCTTTGCACCTGAGCTTCTCGAATAAACAAAACCTGACCTGCTCTTTTCATTCCGTCGATTCCCATCCCACAGACCAGGATGGTCAATATCCCGCCTTGTCAACCCGCCTGTCATCTCCCAGAGGCCTTCCTTCCTCCCCCGAGAGCAGTGATCACATCCTCCATAAGCACCAGCACCAGGTTTAGAACCGAATCACGTATCTTGTATCTTTGAGTTGGTTTCCCGCCACCCCCTCTGCCGGAGGGGAGACTCCCTGAGGCGAGGACGTGAGAACTGCTCCTCTTTGCAGCCCCAAGAAGGTGCTTCTCAAACAATCTGCAGCAAAGAGCCCATTTTTAAAATCTTATTTACGACCCCATGGACTCGTGCTTCGGTGGAATACAGTCAAATGGAGGAGGGAAGCCCTTCCTCGCCATGGCTCGATCTTATTGCCACCGGGGGTGGGGAAGGTCCGCCGAGGGCCTTACACGGCCGAGAAATCAGTGGGTCTGGCCCTGCCAGGGCATTAATTAAATGTTTGACCAAACATGGCAGGCTAATTTTTAAGTTATAATTTTGAATGGCCTGCGAATGCTGTGATAAATACCCAAGTGGCTGTTGGCAGAAAAAAGGTTCCCTACCCCACCCCGCTGCACATTTCTAAATGCTTCTCTCAGTTCCCATGCCCATTTCATCGTGAACTAGTGACAGATAGTTAGGGGACCGGCAGGGTCCACAGACCACCCTTTGAGGAGCACCGTCCTGGACTCAATAGCACTTACCAGGACAGCAGTCCCAGAGGTAAGCGGGCAGGAGAGCCACCTGGAGGGCTCGTAGAAAGGACAGCTGGCCCCACCCCCCGAGTCTGCAGCTTAGCAGGTCTGTGGTGGGGCCTGCAAATTCCCGTTGCTGCTGGTTGGAAACCTCACTTGGAGACTCACTGGGCTACAGAAACGAACAACTATCGGGTACACTGCCCTCGTGTGGCTGCCTGCCCTCGGAAGCAATGGTTTGGGCCACCATGTTGTCCAGCTGAAGGGCTGCAGACAAGAGGAAACCCCGAGAAGCCGTGAGAAGCCAGAGGCCCCTACCTTGGGGCTGTGCTGAGCCCGGCTCCTCCGCAGCTGGCTGAGCAGGCGACGTCGAAGAACATCGAGGCAACGTGTGAGGTGCCCCTGCAGCTGAAGGCCCCGGAGGTGGCTGGAAGGGTGGGGACTCAGGTGGTGATCCAGTCAGCTGTACCTGCTGCTGTGGTGACACAGGTGACAGGCCAGGTGAGGAGCTGGGCGGCGAGGGCACAGCTGGGAGTGATACAGGTGGCAAGTCAGCTGGAGAACGCGACGATGCAGAGCCCAGGGTCGATGCAGGTGACTGCTCAGATGAAGAGGCAGGTGGTGAAGCGGGTGACTCCACAGGCCACTCGTGTGTGGATGCAGGTGTCTGTACAGGTGGGGACACAAGTGGGCCGCGGCCACCGCTTTCTTGCTCTTTGCGATCGCATTGTGTGGGAAGTTGCGTGGATTCTTCCAGACTGGCCTGCTCTGATTGGAGGCTTGGCTCACTGTGTTCCGGGCACGCGCTGCCAAGGGCGAGTTCTATCTGGCAGTACACTTCCACCCGGGGGAAAATCACCCTCTTGGAGGGAGAATTAAGGTAAGCAGCGTCTAGGAAAAACAAGCATGGGTCACAGGTGGCATTTCTAACCTCCGACATCAGCATGGTGTTTGCAAAAAACGCGTTTCCAAGTTACTGTCATAAACAGGATTATTTCTCACCGGTGGCCTTTCTTTACTTACTTGGATTGACATTGAGTATTTGTGGGTTAATCCACGTATTCAGTGGATATTTATTGAGCATCTCTGTGTGGCAGGCACTGTGCCTGGCACTGAGGAGGCGAAGGAGACAGAAACAGGTGTGATGGTTTCTCCCCCCGGAGCTTACAGCCCAGGGTGGGGGCAGGCCCTGACCGCCCAAATAATCTCAAGTTTTAATCAAGACAAGTGTTAGGCAGGGGAGGAACCTGGCCCTAGCAGAGAGGGACGCAGAGAGGACTTAACTGGGAGGCTTCCCCGAGGGAGGGGCATTTAAGCTGAGATCTGAAGGCCGCGTGAGTGGTCCAGGGGATGGTCAAGCAGGATGGGGAGGAGAGGTCAGGCAGAGGGAGCAGCATGCACAAAGGTCACAGGCCCGAAGGAGCACCAGACGTGGGGTCCTGAAAGGTAGTGTTGCTGGAGCCTGGAGCGCGAGGGGGGGGGGGGGGGGGGGGGCGGGGGGGGGGGTCTGAGGAGCAGGGACCAGGTCGCTCAAGGGCTCGTAGGCAGCACTGAGGACTCTTAATTTTCATGGGGACCATGAAGCCTCCTAGGCAGGGAGGCGCCCCCTGACTCTGGCTTTGACAAGGTCGCTGTGGCTGGGTGTGGAGACTCACTGACAAGGGCACAGGGGGCCGGGGAAACCTGTCGGGCGGCTGCGGATCTGTGTGGGGCTTGCGCCTGGAAGAAGGTGAAGGAAGTAGAAGTTCTGTTTGGGAGGTAAGTGGGTGAGGATCGGTGAGGGACTGATGGGGGCTGCGGGGGGATAGGTGGCTTGTACAATCAGATGGATGTTGGTGCTGTCTACTGAGAATAGGCCGTGGGTGGGGGGGATTTGCCGGGCGGGGGTGGGACGGAGGAGAGCTCAGGTTAGGAGCTTGTTTGGGGACATGCTGAATTTGGGGGCCTTGGAGATGCCCGAGGAGAGACCAGTGGGCAGTGTGCGTGTGGATTTGGATTCTAGAGACGAGGGTTAGAGGTTCATATGTATTGGGAGCCCGCCGGGGCTGGGGCTGTGGTGGTGGCTGTGCAGGAGACTCCTAGGGACGGAAGGCAGGTGAGAGGAGGGGCCGGGATTGAGGCAGACAAGCAGAGGGGCCCAGGGCAAGTTTCCTAAAACAAGCAAAACGGGGAAGATTCCAAAGCCGCTGGGAAGAGGACCCGCAGCCCAGGAGAAAACATTTACAAATAGTATTCCTGACAAAGGGCGTTTATCTAGAATTCGTTAAAGCTCTTAAATGAGAAACAAACAATTCCGTGTTTCAGATGGGCAATGAGCCAACTGAAAGAGCTCCCTCTGGCCAAAGCTGGGACAGTTTGAGTCAAAACTTAGAGTTGAATAATAACCCAGAGAATAAGATGAGTGCCCAGGAGTTCACACATAAACAAGCAAGACGGCTGCCTAAGTGATGCAGACGAGACCCGTCGTCCACGCAGAAGCGGCCCACATGCTTTATGGGCGTCCTGACCTTAAGGACATGGAGGAGGGTTCCTGGCCTTTTCCGTGTGCGCTATGCATAGACTTCCTCCCGGAAAGCACAGGGTGGGAAGAGGAGAAAGGGTGACTTCACCAGGAGAACCTGACCGGCACCGCTGCAGCCGGGTGACCACGGTCACAGCATCCGTGACCGTCAGGTGGGCGCAGGCGCCCTTGGTGGAATGTGCTGAGGCGGCACTTTGCCTCTTGGGTCTTGCTTCCTCCAACCCATGTCCCCGTCTACTCATGGGGCAAACGCCAGACGGACCCCGACTGAGGGGCAGTCTACAACGTCTCTGGCCAGGACTAAACCCTGCCAGTCACTAAAAACAGGGAGAGTCTGAGAAACTGTCACAAACAGGAAGAGTCTGAGAAACTGTCACAAACAGGGAGAGTCTGAGGGGGCATGACAACGGCACGCGGCGTGCTCTCCTGGATGGCGTCCTGGGTCAGAGTGAGGTCCTCAGGCAGCAACTCAGGAAGTCTGCGCAGAGTGTAGCCTTGGTTACTAGCACACTGTAACACCTAACAAAGGGAAACCTGGGTGCGGGATGTACGGAAACGCTGTACTGTTTTTATATTTTTCTGTAAATCTAAAACTGTTCTAAAAACAAAGCTTATGAAAGGTGTAGGGGGAAATGGGCAAAAGAGTTGAACAGACACGTCCAAAGAAGCTCTTTGGACGACTAATAAGCAAATGAAAAGATGCTCAGCCTCATCAGCCACTAGGAAGAGGCAACTTCAAGCCAGTGAGACGCCGCTGCACGCCTCTCAGGACAGCTCAGATGGAAAAGACCTGCCACACCAGTGTCGGTGAACACGGGAGGGGGGGACCTGGAGCTCTCCTCACAGCCGGAGGGGATGGAGAATGATACAGACGCTTTGGAGGACCGCGGGGTGGTCTCCTAAAAAGCTAAATCCGCATTCTGGGAATATGCCTCAATCTGCACATGTCCAGATGAATTGAACATCGAATCTCAAAGAGATATTTGCACGCCCATCCATTGCAGCATTATTTACAATAGCCAAGAGGTAGAAGCAGCCATATGTCCACTGATGAACAAATGGCTAAAGAAAATGAGATATATACACACGTTGGAATATTACTCAGCCTTAGAAATGAAGACAGTCCTGTCACATGCTACAACATAGATAAACCTTGAGAACATTGTAAGTGAACTAAAAGGCAAATACTGTGTGCTTCCCTGATGTGAGGGACGCAAAGTAATCAAACCTGTAGAAATAGGAAGAGGAGCAGTGGTTGCCAGGGCCTGGGGGAGGGAGAAATGGGGAGTTGGGGCCAGTGGGTATAGTTTCAGTTTTGCAAGATAAAAATTTCTGGAGGTTAGCTGCACAACAAAGTCAACATGCTTAGCACTACTGAGCTGTCCACTTACAATGGCTGAGATGGTACATTTATGTTATGTGTTCTTATCACAGTTTTATATATGCAAATTATATATAATTATATTATATAACGTAATTATCATAATTATATATATAACACATCTCCCATGTGATCTAATCATTCCACTCCTGGGTATGATCAGCGAAGTAAGAGCATATGTCCATACCAGGACATATATATGAGTATTTATAGCAGCTTTATTCATAATAGCCTGAGGTGCATACAACTTAAATGTCCATTAACAGGTGAATGGCTAAATGATCGGGGGTGTAGTCATACAAAGGAATGGAATGTAAAAAGGAATGAACTATTTATATCACGCAATGACATGGGTGAATCTTTGAATAATTACGCTGAGGGAGAGAATGCAGCCAAAAATAAGGTTTCACAGTATAAGATTCCATTTATCAAAAACTCTAGAAAATGCAATTGATCTGTAATGACAGAAAGTAGATCAGAAGTTGGGGTGGGTGAGGGGAGGTGGGAGGAATCACTGAGGGGCACGGGGAGACTGGGCGTGATAGATTGTTCGCCATTCTGATGGGGAGCTGTTTCACGTGTGTGTGTGTGTGTGTGTGTCCTCAAGCACACGGCAAGCAGGAGGCTGCTGCAGGGAGGCAGATGGAGGGAGACTTGCCGGCAGCAGGAATAGTGAGGTGGAGGTGAGCCCTTAGGAGGGGGGTGTGTGTGACACCTGTGGGTGCAGCTTCCTGTGGAGCTGACCACCCTCCAGTGGGGCGGGAGGCTGGAGTGGACTCGCCTTTTCCGTTCCCGATGGCGGGTGGGGATTAAAACCGCACTTACTCAGGCTGGGTGGACCTCCGCGCTCCCTGTGAAGGAGGCGGATCCAGCCCGTCTAAACCCCAGGGGCTTTGGGTGGGGGCGCCGAACCCTGCGCTGGCTGAGAAAGCCGCACTGGCAGATGGAAGCGGAAGCAACCCTGGCTGGTGGCCAGCAGGAGACAGCAGCGTCTCCTTTAGCGTCTTTCCTACTGGGGGTGGTTCCAGGGCCCCTGGGAAATCCCGCCACCCTCCATATACTGCCCGGGTCGGGAGTGGATGCTGAAATGTAGGGTTTCAGCCTTGTGCTTAGGGCACCATTCACGCCAGCTAAGGGGGAGGGGTGGGGGGAGGGCGCTGGGTTCCTCCCGCAGGAGGAAGGGTGGGAGAAGGTGCTACTGAAAAATGGAAGAGAAGGGAAAAGTTCTAGAGGAGAGGCAGGTTTGGAGTAGCCTGGTAGCCAGGCTGTAATGGGTGTAGAGGGGCCTCCTGGGGCAGGGAATTGGTGTCTGCTCCAAGGTCTGAGCCCCAAATCAGGGGGTCTCCCTAAGCCCCAAGTCCCCAGCCTACACCATCATTGAGGAGTGTGGAGGGGCTCCCCAGCTGGTAGCAGAAGGGACCCTAGGCCCCAGCCAGCCCCTCCTATTCCTGAGGCCCCATCTCTACCCCCCATGACACCCCTCATGTTGTTCACCTTTTGGATACTTGGGGCTCACTTTTCACAGCTGTCGCCTGTGTAAATGAGGATGGGGGGTTGTCAGAGGGGGCAGGGCCAGGAGGAGTCTGTCCTGCCGAGGGGTGAGAGGAGGGGCCTGTCTCTGGGCTCTGAGGGGGCAGAGACTGGATTGGCCCCGGCAGGGACATGGGACTCTGCTGTCCTCAGTAAGAACCGCCAGCTACTGGAGAATGGTGCTGAGGGCTCTGTGTCTTTGCTCCTCTGATCTTCACGATAACCTCTGAGGAGGGTCCATGACCAGCCCCTTATACAGATGAGAAAACCGAGGCCCCAGGAGGTTATCGACCTGCTCGAGATCACACAGCTGGGGGGTGTCAGGAATGGGGATCTAAACCCTTCTCACAGATTAGGAAACCAAGACTCAGGGAGGGGGAGTGGGTTCCCTGAGCTCACGCAGCTGGAGGGAAGGAACCCTGGCCCAGGCCGTGTGCCTCGGGGCCCCCATTCTCTCCCACCCCCCACCCTTGTTGGGAGAGAGGACCCAGGAGAACGTAGAGTCAGGACAGTGGGAGCTTGGGAAAGCAGGAAGTAACTGTGAAGGGGAAAAGTGACTATATCCTGGGGGGAAAACCTCATTCAACACCTTAATCTCACTCTCAAAGTATTTAAATCTGTACACACAACAAGCACAACACAGCATTGCTGATCACAGTGAACGTTTGGAAACGCAAAGGGATGATCAGTTTTCTGCACAACCCACGGCCCAGAGGACAATCGTGAAGACCCTGGGGCACTATGGGAAAAACTTACGGTTTTCACGGGAAACGCCCTTTGAGCCAGGAATCCCTTCTCTTGGAAATTAACTCTAAATATGGAAAAGCTTCTTTCTTTCCACTTAACAGAGACGTTTGCCATGACCTTCCTCATGTTAAAGCGTGTTATACATGTCACCGGAGTCCTCCTCCTACCAAATCACGGAGGACACACAGGTGTGGGGCCACGACCTCCAACCCAGCACAGGCCAGGGCGCCTCTCTCGCCTGTGCTGAGCTGCGCGTCCTTCAGAGCCTCAGGTAAACATAAGCCTGGCGCATGTAGATTCTACATTAACAATACGGCCCTTTTGGAAAGAGAAGGAAATGACACGAAAATGGAAGATACGAGCTATGAATTTCCTACACATAGTTTTTCTATCCAGAAATATATCTGTGCAAAGCCCCAGACACTGTCCCCTCAGGTAACCGAAACGCCGCCTTTGCACGGAGATCCTCATTTCTGGCCGCAGTGGCCTGTCCTGGGCGAGGCAGCGGTCAGGCCTGCACCCATTGCTGGCTCTCCAGGTCACCAACATGGGGGATGCTCCCCTACTCAGCTCTCCTACTTCCTGTCTTTGCCCACCCTCCGGGCCTCCCTTCATCGGGGCTCCACGTGGTACTTACTCAGCCGCCTCAAGTACAGAACGGCGTCTTCGTAGCCTCGGTAGTAGTAATTGTGCAGGACCTGCAAGGGGGGCACACCGGGAAGAGACTCAGGCTGCAGCAGCGGCGACAGAGCAGCTGCTTTCGCCTTTTATTTGACGGGCTCTTCAAATGTGCCTGTCCGGTTCCCATCCCTCACTCTCTGCCAAGGACTGGGAGCAGTTCCTGTGTCCATAATGACACGACACCAGTGTGCTAGACCTTGCACAGTTGCCCACCAGCTTCCCCTGGTGGGAGACGCCGAGGTGTTTGTAGCAGAAGCAGGGAAAGTGCATTTGGACCATCTGAAAAGCCAAGTTTGGAGACTGGGTTCGAACCCCAGTGCTGCCACTTACTGGCTGTCGGGCTCTGTGGGTGTAACCTCTCACAGCCTCAGCTTCTTCATCTGTAAAATGGGGTAATAATAGCATCTATCACAGAGGATGCTGAAGGATCACATGAGATATTGCCCGCAAAGTCTTTTCTGTAAAGGGCCAGGTAGCAAATATTTGGGGCTTTGCAGGCCATACATAGTCTGCCATTTCTTCTTCTTCTTCTTCTTCTTCTTCTTCTTCTTCTTCTTCTTCTTCTTCTTCTTCTTCTTCTTCTTCTTCTTGTTATTATTATTATTATTTCTTCTTCTTCATCTTCTCCTTCATCTTCTTTTTTTTACAGTCATTTGTTTTATTTTATGTTTTCTTTTTACTGAATGTATTGGGGTGACACTGGTTAACAAAATTATATAGGTTTCAGGTGCACAACTCTACACACATCATCTGTACACTGTTGTGTGTTCACCGCCCATTTTACAGCCTTTAACGGTGGAAAGCCCACACTTAGCTCACAGGCTGTACAAAACCAAGGCGGGGGGGGGGGGGGGGGCAGGGGGGCGGATCTAGCCCCCAGGCCACAGTTTGCTGACTTGACATCGCACATCAGAGTGGAAGAGTTCAGTTACCATCCCATCGGCGATTCTGACATCACCTTATTTACAGGGGAGGACATTAAGGCTGGGAGCCCTTAGGGGACATGTTCAAGGTCACATAGCTCATTAGCGAAAAAGCCAGGACACAGGTCTAGGAGGAAGTTTAAGGGAACATTCGAGAGGAGGAAACATGGGAACTGAGTGGGCCCCACTGGCTTCCCCATTGCACCCCCACCCCCACCCCAGCCCCTCCAGGCCCCTCTCTCTCACCATCAGGTCTGGGGGGAACAGGGCGTGGGTCATCCTGGCGATGTTCTCCAGGGAGAACTGGAAGGAGCAGTTGAACATGCGGAAGTCGTGGAAGATGGCCGGGCAGTCCCGGGGGCAGATGTCCTGCTGGCCGCTGAAGGTGGAGATGGTGATGGAGTCGGTCCAGAAGGCGCAGGGCTGCATGCCCGTAAAGCCGCCGTCGATGTACCGCTGTGGGGGCAGAGCGAGAAATGCGAGCCTGGCCAGAGGGCCTCTCCCCACGTGGGGAGGACACAAGGACAAGCCCTACACTGAGGCCCAGGGGCTGGGTGATGGGCTCAAGGTGACTCGGGTCCAAGCTGCCCCTCGGCAGAGCCAGGCACCCTGGGCGGCCACGTGTCCACCCTCCAGGCCCTTCCCTTCTGGGGTTTCGGTTCCTCAGCTGAGAACAAAGGCGCCGACCCTCTCGGCTCACTGAGAACGACACCGACATGCAAGCTGGGCTCCATCTAGAGCTGAACCTTGTCCAGACCTCATTTTCTCCGTAAGATGAGGAGGGGGTGGGCTAGACCCTCTGACTCGGAGTGTGGTCTGGGGACCAGCAGCGCCGGCTCAGCGGAAGCCCGTTCCAGGCGCAGTCTCGGGCCCTGCCCCAGACCTACTGGGGCAGGATTTGCATTATTTTACAAGATCCCTGAGCGTGGAAGTTGGCGAGGCACTAGCCTAGATGACCTCAAAGGTCCCCATCACTCAAGGTTCCAGGTCCCCACGGTGCAGGGCCTGTGTCCTATGCTCCCTGTAAGCCTGGGAAAGTCTGTAAAAGACTTTCGGAGGCATCTTGATTTGCTGGGCTCAGGAACGGGTTGGTGCATCCAGAGAGAAGCCCAGCCTAGATGGAAAAGTTCCTCTTAAGGCCCCAGAAGTCCATCTACTATATGGGGGGATTCTGAGTAGGAAAACGTGAGAACCTTCCCAACTCCTGGTCTTCCCGCTGAATTCTGAGACCACCCCCTGCTGTCCCAGCTGTGGTCTCAGGGCCGAGGCACCCCTGGGCCCTGGCTCAGCCCCGCCCACGCTTCAGCACTCACCACACCGCGGTAGGTCGGGGGGATGAGGCCGCAGTACACGGGGACAAAGCAGCTGCAGTACAGGGCCTGCGGGGGGAGAACAGGGCTGAGACGCCTGAGGCCCTGGGGGCTGGGGGTACCTGCAAGCCCCCGGGACGCGGCCAGCCACACTTTCCTTAAACCCAAGGTGGAGGCCCTGCCTTCTTCCCAGTTCAGTCCCTGTCCTGGCCCTGACTAGCTGGGTCCTTGGTGACAACTTGGTCACAGCTTTAAAGGCAGAGGGTGACCTCAGTGATCTCCAGGGTCCCTTCTGGGTCCAAAGTTCCATAAATCCAATGGGATTCAACCACCATCACTGTGCATCTGACTTGGGCCAGGTCCTGGCATCAAAGGAGGGTGAGATACCCACCCTTGGGAATGCTGCAAGAGGGGAGTAAGCAAGCAGGTGACAGTACAGGGTGACAGGTGCTGTGGGGGAGGTGAGCAGGGGCATTGTGGCCCCAAAGGAGGAGCACCCAGCTCAGGGGAGTGTGGGGCGGGCAGATGGAGGAGAGTTACAGCAGGCATGACTGGAGTCTTCTACGGCAGGTGAAGGGGAGTGAGAACGAGAGAAGGGCATCCCTGGCGGAGGGCACAGCAGGTGCAAAGGCACGAAGACCTGCTTGGTGTGTGGTCTGTGCTGGTTGGCCGGGTAGAGGAGGAAGGTGGTAGGAGGCTGGAGAGGAAAGTCTTGAAGAGCTGGTGCCAACAAATCCAGGGACACGAGGTGGCGGAGGAGTATCCACGTGCATTGCCTATTCACCCTCCACCCCAGGATCATGGCCAGGCCAGCGTGGGGATGAAAGGATGGGTGGCAAGGGCCTTGTCGTCAGAGGAGTGGAGGGGAATAGAAATGTGGGACAGAGTCATGCAGCACAACCCCTTTGTCAGGAAAGAAAATTGGGTCCACTCCCAGCCCTCCCCAGCAAGAGCAACCCAGGTAGGAGCTCTGTTAATGAGGCCAGAACAGTGCAGCTTTGTTGTGGTTTGCTCTGGTTGGCACAGGTAGACGAGGAAGGTGGTAGAAGGCTGGGGAGGCAGGACCAGCCTGCCCTCCAACCTTCCCTTCCGCGCTGCGCTCTAGCCCCGCCCCCACTCCACAGCCCCGCCCTACTCCAGGCCCCGCCCCACTCCACAGCCACGCCCTACTCCAGGCCCCGCCCCACTCCACAGCCACGCCCCCACTCCACAGCCACGCCCCTACTCCAGGCCCCGCCCCACTCCACAGCCACGCCCCACTTCACAGCCACACCCCCACTCCACAGCCACGCCCCCACTCCACAGCCACGCCCCCACTCCACAGCCACGCCCTACTCCAAGCCCCGCCCCCACTCCATAGGCACACCCCTCACCCCACAGCCACGCCCCCACTCCACAGCTCTGCCCTACTCCAGGCCCCGACCCCGCCCCGCCCTCTTGCCTCGATGAGCTCCTCTTTGGACGTGTACTCGGAAACCACTACACTCTCTCCATCGGTGAAGCGGGTGAGGCTCACGTGCAGCCTCCCGGTGGCGGCCTTGTAGGAGTCCTCAGGCAGGGCCTGGTACAGGAACTGCCGCATCATCTGCACCATCCTGCAGGAGGGCGCCAGGGGCCCCAGGAAGGACTTCTTCACCTCGGCCACGCCCACGTTGAGGACTCGGAGGTACTCATCTGTGGACGAGGCAGAGAGGAGCGGGAGCTCAGCGGCCCTGGCCAAGGCAGGTCAAGGATAATTTCCCATCTCATCCTGCCGCCAGCCAATGGGAAGACCTAGAATTCTGAGGCAGGGAGGGGACCCACCTGTCATCTGCTCAGGAGGAAAGCAGACACGGTGGGTCCGAGTCGCTGGCCCCCGAGATCCCAGGGCAGAACGAGGCCCAAGCACCCCAACTCTGCTCACTGAGACAAAGGACCACTTTCCGACCCCAAGGAGCTTTCCCAGCTCCCTCACATGCCTGCTGTCCCCCAGCAGACGGCATTCTTTTGGAGTCTTAGAGACTTTTTGTCCTGAGATTCCCATCAAAACACACACACACACACACACACACCACTGACACAGTGGAAAGCCTTCACCAAGTGACACCTGGGACACGGGCATAGTGCCAGCTGCGTCTGTGTGCAGGGAGGGCGTGTTGGCCTTGGGGCAGATGAATTACAGGGAGGGATGAACTTTGTCCTGAAACTATTGCATCATCTTCCCTTCCTGGCCCCCGATAGGCTGGAAAGGGAAGGTCCTGAACCCTGGAGACGGCTGTGCCAGGCTGCCCTGTGGGCGCCCAGGAGGGGGACACCTCCTCCTCCTTTTGAGAGGAGCACAGCCCGGGCACCGGGGCCAGACGGGCTTGGAGGGCAGGTGTGCTGCTCAGGGGGTGGCAGCGGGAGGTGTAAGTTGCCTCCCGGGCCCTGAGAATCCCACCAGGGAAGCTGGGTTGCAGACTTGCTAAGGCGTGCGATGGTGCTGGAGCGCACAGCATTACTCTGCGGCAGGTATTTGTCTCCTCATCCCGCTGGTCAGGAAGCGGAGGCTCGGAGAGGTGATATAACTTGCCCCGGGTCAACTCTGTGGCACGTGGACAAAGTGGGCTTTTAACCTCGAGTGCCCCCGGAACCCATACTCCTTCCACTAAGCTAAGCTGCAGGCTCCCAGAGTCCGGCCTGTACCTGCTTCCTGCCCATTGTTGCTGTTTTCTACCTGGTGGAAGCTCCCTGGGAAAATCAGGAGTGGAAATGGCTCTGAAAAGGGCTGCTAAAGCTTTAAACAAACATTTAATTGTAAAACCTCCCGTACAGGAGAGTGTCCTCACAACCAGCTATCAGGCAGCAATGGCTATTTGGGAGGTTGTGTGGTCATGAGCTCTCTGCCACTGGAGGTAATCAAGCAGAGGCAGGAGAAGCTCCCCAGCCAGAGAGCTAGCTCATCAAAGGGGTTCCTGGGTGGACCATTAGGGCTAAGATCCCGTTTCATGATGAATTCCGGGACTCTCACCAGAGCCCGACCACGTCTCCGGGGAGGCATGGCGGTGAACCTTGTGCTCCGTTATAAATAGAGCAGCTGAGGCACAGGGACCTTCAGTGATTTGCAGCAATTGGGGGACAAACCAAAGCTGGGGATGTGCTCCTCCTCCTGTGGTTTACAGGCCCCAGGCAGGTCCTCCCTAATCCTGGAGGCGGACAGGATAAGGAGCGTCAGCCTCATTCCTCAGATCCAGAAACCGAATCAGGGAAACCCTACGTGTCCTCCCTGAGGTGAGATGGCAGTGTTTGCTCTGACTCCCGCCCACGTCTGTCCCTGGGTGTTGGACTGATCCCAGAGGCTGGGGAGCCTGGGTTGCCATGGCGACAGCCTTTTCTCACCAACGTGTAGAATCCCAGCTGCATGTGCCGTAGGGATGGGCCTGCGCAGCAGAGCATCTCAGCTGTCACCCTTTAGGGGGAGGCCCTGCTGTGGTGGCGAGGTTAGCGTTCCATGTGCCGGCTGATACAAACAGCCTTTCCCTGAAGGGAGGTGGCAGCCAACCCACCAGCAGGTCATGAAACAACTGGGCATTCAAACCTTGGGATACCAAGGTTTTGGGTCACTGAGCTCTCTCCTACAAGACCAGCAGGATGGGGAGTCGAACCAGGGTAGGGATGTGCTGTTTTTGGAAATGCTTTTTAATCCTCACCTGAGGATATGTTCTTATTGGTTTTAGAGAGAGAGGAAGGGAGAGGGAGGGAGAGAGAGAGGGAGAAACATTGATCTGTTGCCTCCTGCATGCGTCCTGAATAGGGATCAAACCCACAGCCTAGGTATGCGCTCTGATCAGGAACCGGATCTGCAGCCTTTCAGTGTACCTGACCATGCTCCAACCACTGAGCCACCCGCCAGGCTGCTTTTGGAATTCTTAATGAGCAACCTGAAGTGGCCACAAAGGAGTTGGTGGCCTTCCCACAATGCCTGGGAGCCAGGAGCACCCAGCTCTGTTTGCCCAAACGCTCCTTGGGCGCCCAGCAAGAGGAGCTCGCTGGGACCGACGGGAGGACGTTTGTTCTTATTGCACAAGAAATACATGTTCACGGTGGGAAATTGCTTTAAATGCAGATAAGCAAAAGGAAAAGATTAACACGACTTGGAACCCCTCCACCCAGAGATCCACATTTGGTTTATGTCTCCCTACACTATATATTTCATATTTATTCTTACTTACAAAATACTTTTATGGGGTCAATCTATTTACATTATTTTGTAACTTGCCTTTTTCACCTAGTAAATCATGTCTTTCCCATCAATAACCACTCATTAACCACTTAGAACCTCATTTACAAGCAGCATGGAAAGCTACTGGAAGGCTATGAGATTATTTATTGGGCAGGTCCCCTGGAGGAGTTGAATATTTAGTTTGTTTCCTTGCTTTTATAAACAATGCTGCAATTAATAATCTCATGCTAAATTCTTTGCCTGTGTCCTTTCTTATTTTCCTCAGGATGGGGACAGAGGTGGGGGTGCTAAGTCAAAGGCCTGTGCTAAGTCAAAGTGCCTCATAATGCTTATTTTGATCATGGCTTTTGTGTATTATCCATTTAGAGGCAACTCGGCTGTTTGGGGGGGTGGTGACAGGGGCTGAGCAGTGGCCAAGATAATAGAAACAGTGTCGACATCTCCAATATAGCAGTTACACCTGGAAGCTAGCAACACTCTACCAGGGGTCCTCATACTTTTTAAACAGGGGGCCAGTTCACTGTCCCTCAGACCGTTGGAGGGCCGGACTATAGTGTAAAAAAAAACTATGAACAAATTCCTATGCACACTGCCCATATCTTATTTTGAAGTAAAAAAAACAAAACGGGAACAAATACAATATTTGTATTTGCATGTGGCCCGCGGGCCGTAGTTTGAGGACCCCTGCTCTAGCCAGTATCACATATCCAGGGAGGAGGGGACAGGAGATTGTCTGATTTCTCCCACTCAGGTGCCTAGTTTAATATTCTTTCCTGCTGCTCACCGGGGATTCGTACCAAAGGATGCCTTTGTCTCCGCTTCTCCTTCCTTCTCTTCAGGTCCGTCTGTGTGTCTCTGTCTTCAGAGCCTCTCTCTCTCCCCCTCCCAACCCCCTTCTCTCTCTTCTTAGCTGAGGCAAAAGCAACTAGTCTGGTTAACAAGTCTCTGTTGGGAGAAAGTCACATGCTAAGCATAGCAAGTGCTGGGTGCTGTGAGGAGGGGTAAATTTAGTTTGCTTCTCTATGCATCTGTCCTTTCCAGCACCGTCTCCCGTTTAAAGGGCTCCTGCCAGGCTGCTGGGCTCTGAGACACAGTGTCCCACACAGACCGCAGCCAGGCGGGATCTGCAAGCAGCACAGCAGGAAACTCAAGGTTGGCTGCTCTCGCCCCGGCCCACACTCGCCACGTCCCTTCACAACTTTGTGTTATCTAAGGGTGGTGACTGCCTCCCAAGCCAAGAAGGAGATTCTCTGAGGGCCGGTCCTTCCCTCCCTCTGTGGCCGGCCTGGCGCTCTGCCCATACAAGGCCCTGGAGCAGCCTGTGTTCTAAGCTGGGAGCCGCGCAAGGGCAGGGACGGGCCATACTCACCTGCAGCCACCAGGCCTCCCACGACACTTGGTGGCCCAGTGGTTGCTCAGTGTGTGAACAAAGGAAAACAAGAGCCGACAGGGAGGAAGAGCAGATGATGGAGATGCTCGCAAGGAAGGGCTTCCTGACTTAATGACCCAAGAAAAGCTTGGAAGCAAGATCATCCCAGACAGGTGGCCAGACAGCAGAGTTAGCATCGGCAGGTGTGGCCCATTCCGCAGGTTTTATGAATCCACGGTCCTAAAAACTTCAGTAGGGAAATAAATAACCCAGATCCTGGGACTGGGAGGCTTTGAGGCCATTTGGACGCTGCTCCGAATCTGAGTCACTCTTCTCTAAGACCAGGTCCATGTCTTGGAAAGAGCTCAGACTTTGAAGCCAGACAGATTTGGTTCACACCCCGGCTTTGCCGCATGCTATCTGGGCAGTCACAGAACTCCTTCCAGCCTCAATGGGCCGTCTATGAAATGGGGCTAATGATACGTTACTGGGTTGCTAGGAGGCAGGCATGTTTAAAGTCCCGCACACAGAAGCGCTCGATGTCAGCCTGCCAGCTGCTACCCAGGCGGCCATGGAAAAGCCGCGGCCTGTTCCTGCCTTTCAGCGTTCCCACCTGAATGGGGCCGTGATTCCTGCCCCGCGCCTTCCCCAGGTGTGCACAGGCTCAGGGTGGGTGCAGAAGAGCAGGGTAAAAGCACTGAGCAGAGGGCTGCACCGGCCTCAGGGCTTGGGGAGGGATGGTGTGATGTAGGATAGCACAGATGGCCACAGCACTCTTCCCTGTCAACTTGGGGGGCCTTACAGAGCCAGTTGGTAAAGGGGGAGGTAGAAAAACCATTGAAGGGAAGGATGTGAATGATTAGATGTGCGTTTATCTTATTTACCTGCTTAAGTGCCTAAAGTTTCCCCTCTTCGTGAGAGCAAGGATGGTCTCTGTCTGGCTCACCCCTTTGTCCCTAGCACCTGATATGGTGCCGGAACACGATGGCACTTAATAAACACGAATACATACGTGAATAGTGAATAAATGAGTGAACCCCACAATCGAAAGAGGGCACTGAGGTCCAGGCAGAGAAGCAGCTACTCAAGGTGACTCAGACTAGA